GTGCAGGCGTGGCGGGTGAGGAGGGTGGGGGACGCGCGACATGGAAGACCACCGACGCTGGCGCTACCGTGGCGCATCAGCGCGCAATTTTTGATGATCAAAGTGCCCAATTGGTATTGTGGCGCTTGATGCGAGATTTTAGGGTTTGCGCGAGGAGGACCCGCCATTCGTGCTCCCTCCCCTCCCTCGCTGCGCTCGGGGGGTCCCCCGAGCCGGGAGCACTCAGGCGGGCACTCTAAAGCCTCGTTCGCGCGATAAATACAGACGGCCTCCCCTCTTGGGGGGAGGAGGAGGTGTGAGTATCGCCTAACCCAAACCCAAACCCAAACCCTAACCGAACCCAAACCCGAACCCAAACCCGAACCCTAACCGAACCCTAACCGAAACTCTAACCGACGCGTATCACTAAGACCGCGTGGGTTGGGAGGTTTGATACCTGCCTGGCCCGATATCCCAGAGGTTTGCAAACCTCGTTGTAGTCTCTACCAAGGCGAGGGCGAAGGTGAGGAGCCGTCTCATCGACTAGCATTGTCTAGAGCCGCTGACACCTCCTTCTACAGGCCCACAAGGTGAAGAGCCGTCCTCCGCCCCCCGTCGTGTCCAAGGCCAAGCGCAGCGCCGGAAAGAAGCGGCCCAACTCGCTACCAACCCCCGAGGTGTTCACCCGCTCGTCCCTTGCGGCCCGTGCTATCGCTGGGCTGCAGACGAGCGGCGAACACCACCACGCCTCCCCGACCGAATGCCATGCTTGGGGCGCGACGGCACCACCTACTCGCGGTCGACGCCCAGAGCAGATGCCCTACTCGCGCGACAGCGCGCTCATCTACCGGCATGAGCCTGCTTATTACCCGCACGCCACCCCACAGGGTCCGTTCGCCGGGCACCCTCCCTTCCGCCCCATCCCCAGTGCCGCTCCTCGCGAAGCGTACACGCCGCTCCCCAATCGGCCCACACAAGCTGGGTTCGCTGGCACGGACTACGCTGGGTGCGTCTTCGCACAGGCCGCTGCTGGCCGCCTCGTGCCTCCACCTCAAGTGGCGCAGCCCAACGCCTTCGTGGCGCAGGCGGGCGAGCCACTCGTCAACTGGTACGGGGCTTCCACCGTTTGCCCCTGCAGCGCCCTCTCGTACTCCACTCGCGAGCGTTACACCGGAGTCGCTGTGAGCTCCCCACTAGGGCCGTCCACGCTCGCGCTGGAGCAGGTTCCCAATTCGGACGACGAGTTGTTCGACCTGAAAGCGTTGGAAGACAGCATGGCATCGAGCTCGCTGTCGGACGCTCTCGTCGACCACCACGCTGCTCCTGTGTACACGGGGCATGTTCGTACTGATGACGCGCTGCCTGGGTCGTACACCGGCGCTGTGTCGATCGGAGTGAGTGGATGGACGGGCTCACCTGAGGCTACCGTCTACTACGCGAATCCCGGAGCGCATAGCACGATTGGGGTCGAGCCAACGCTCAACGCCATGTATGCCGCGTCAATCGTCGGCGCGACTGTCGACACCTTCCCGGGGATCCCATCGATCGTTCCTCTCACGAGCCAGATGGAGATTGATCCCACCTTCTCCGGCTGCTTCGACGAGTGCGAACCCTTGTGGTTGCCCTCGTCGACGTCCAACAACTCCTTCGGCGTCCACGACACCGTGGAACAGTGGGTCGATGGCACGTACCTCGCGTCGTCGCCGTCCTCCCACTACCCGCAACCTGAACTGGCCTTCCCCTTCACTGGAGCTGGCAGTTGGCTACAATAGTTAACTCATATTCGTTGTAGGGAGCTGTCCTTTGTGACTTCCTCCACAACACTGAGGCGGAGGCTACAAGTCTCTCCACGTAGTGTCCTCAAAGGGCGTATAAGGAAGCGCATGTAGATGTCGTACCCACTCACCACTCGTCTCTGTAGTGTCCATGTCCCTGTATTCATTCATCGAATTCCCTCTGTGCTTCAAGCTTCAAGTCCGTGTGCACCAACGTAGGGAGCGATAAGGTACGTCCCCGACGACTGATTTGCTATGGGCTAATTATTTGTTGTTGGCAACAAATAGTTAACTCATAGCATACCCATCGCGTCTGATGTCGGATTGGTGTAAGCCTATGGGGGTGCGTCTAGCAGTGTCTCGTAGACAAAAGGATATTCTCGCACCACACAGCCCAGTAGCAATGGTCAAATCGAAGACAAGGGGGTTCAGTGTGTTAGTATCGCGATGGCACTCGGGGTCAAGACCGAAGCTGGCTGAGGTACACCACTCCGAGCTCTCGCTGGAAAGCTTGCAGACCTGCCACGTTTGATCAATCGATGCGCAGGTGAGGGCCACGCGATAGCAGATACTCAGGATATCGCGCGGACTGGAAAACAGGGGCATCGGCGTGAGCAGTGAGATGGCTGCATTGACATGTCGACCTTTTCAGTTGAGAACGAGCTAAGCCTTGGGGATTTCAGCAAGAATATTATCGACCGTGGCTCGTCTGTAGACTGGGTGGTTGTGCCAGAAAGACGTCGCGATGAAGAGGCGCTTAGGATGGGGGCGCAGTACATAGCGGCGTTGATGATGCACGGGCCGGACTCGGACATCTGTACTTAGCTCCTGCCCACCACCGCCTCTTTTCATCGTCGTCATCACATGTCCCTTCTTGCTTCCCGACGCTCTACATCCGGCTTCTGTTGTGCAGGCTATGACTTTCTCAGTCCTCACCTCTTGTATTCCGACATGGCTTTAAATTCAAGCTGATGGCATCGCTATACTTACTGCCGTACTCGGGTACCTGGGTCAAATTCGGCTTCGAGGAAACACCTGGGCCCAAGCTTGAGGTCTATGAGCTACATAACAACGATGGGTTCCCAGGCGAGGGCCACCTGCATGTAAGGGCATCATGATGATATGGATAAAGCATGCTTGGTTCGGGGCAGGATGCCATCTTGGTTCGCGCATCTCTAGGCACCTGTCAACATCCTCGCACGTTCGTGCTAGGGGAGGTGCATTTAGACACAGCTCGTGTCTTCTGTGTTGTTAATTCACCACCCTGAGGACCCGTCAAAGGAAATGCCCCTTCTGCATCTTTACATACATCGATGCTACTGCTAGGAAGCTCTCCGCATGTCTCTCCCTAGTTGTGCACAGCCCTTGCATTCCATCTCCCACCCGCGGACTGAGCGGGTTTCGCTCCTCAAAACCAAAATATCTGCACATGGTTCGGGTCGGATTCTCTGTGCTATGGAATTGCCTTGGCATGAGCCTCTTGTCTATCACTGCCGGTACCCAAGGGAATGGTTTCACTATGCTTCTCACTAGTTCTGATGATTGTGTACAGGTTTGCCTGAACTGTTACCCTAAGTCACTTTCTCGGAGCCAAAGCGATGTATACTTCAGGTACCTCATCTTGTTCATTCGATATCGGTTTTCCTCGCTCGCTCGATATGGATGGCAGTCACATCTCCTTCGTAGGCACAAGGAGACCACTGTACCCGAACAGCCATCTCAACTTCCCGTTCGCCGGTATGACATCGAACTCGGAAGCACTCTCGGTCGATATTCCAAGAAGACTGCCTTTGCAAGACAGCCCTCCCTGCATACAGTTTTCCCACAGCCAGGGGTCAATAGTACAGTCGTCACCGAGGAAAGGATATAATCCAGTGCCTACTGGGACACAGGTTATATGACAGTGGGCTGGCTTGGCATGTGCTCTCCATCCAAAGGTAAGGTGGCGTCCTCTTTCCGATTAGGTTCATCAAGCTAAACCTGTGTGGCTTTCTTCTTCATAAATCACGATATCACCGGCATGTACCCTATACATGCGGAGGCAACGCTGTTATGGGAATGCATGGAGAAGATCGTGCTACATCATCTTCTCCCCTGACAATTGCGTGTTGCAGTCTGCCAATGCATCATGCGCAGCTGAATGCAGGGAAGCGTGCTCGCACAGCCTATCGTCGTATATAAAGCCTCTCAACAGCGTTCCGACGTCTCATTCCTCTGTCTGCTCTCTGCAGCCCACCCACACTCCTTTCCTTTCCTATAGCCATGTTGTGCAAGGTTACACTGATCGCCGTCGCAATCGCGCAGCTCTGTGTGGCTGCACCCGCGCATCGGGATGTTGGTATCAGTATCGCTTTGCAAAAGAACAGCTCGCTCACCACCGCCAACGGCACCTTCAACCATGCTGCTGCAATCAGGCACTCCGTTAAAGTCGCTAAGTACGCGCTATTTATATAGCTTTCATTCCTCCTACTCACATCATGATGCTGCAGCAAGTACCGCCAGAACTTGATCAATTTCCACAAGAATACTGGCCGCTTCCCCAAGAACGTCACCACTATTCCTCCTCCCAAACTAATGCCCTCGAATCTCCGTCGACGTCAAAATGAATCGCTGGAGGACATTGGGGATGACACAGAATGGGCTGGTACAATCGGCATCGGAACTCCCCCTACACCGTTCCTGATCGACTTCGACACGGGCTCATCGGATCTCTGGGTACCCTCGTCCTCTTGCGCAGATTGCGGGGCCCATCAGACGTACGATGCTACGGTGTCATCTTCGAGCGTGGCTCTAGAGGGCACTTTCGAGATCGAGTACGGGGACGGCTCGACGACATCTGGTCCCATCTATACCGATATAGGTACAATGCCCATCACAACGTTTCGCGCCCAAAGATGTTCGGTGATAGACTCACTATACGGCTTTGCAGTGACCGTCGCGGGTGTCGCGGCTAGGAACCAATCCTTCTCGGCCGTCACGCAAGAGTCCTCGCAATTCTCAGAGGACACGATCGATGGCATCCTTGGTCTCGCCTTCCCGGATATCTCCAACTTGGGCCAGGTCTGTTCCTGTTTCCTCTGTCTGCTGTCCCCACATTGGTGACGGGTGTCCTCTTTTGCAGCCGCCCTTCTTCCAAACGGCGCTCGTGCAAGGCAGCGTTCCCGAGGGCGTCTTCGGTTTCAAACTCTCGTCCAACGACTCTGAACTCTATCTGGGTGGCACGAACACGTTGCTCTACACCGGCTCGCTCGAATTTCACAACGTCTCCGAGGTCGGCTACTGGCAGATTGGCGGGACGAGCGCTGTGCTCAACAACGACAAAGCCATAGCGTCGGGCTTTGACACGATCATCGACTCTGGCACTACCATCATGTACGGGACTCCTTCCGATGTTAGCGCTTTTTACAGCGCCATTCCCGACTCGCAGGTCTTCGACCAGGCCAACGGGCTTTATTCGTACCCCTGCGACTCTCCGCCCTCACTAGCGTTCAGCTGGGGTGGCAATTTGTGGACGGTCAGCGAGGAAAAGTGAGTGAAGGCTCGTCAGTCCTTATTTGAATGGTTCCTTACAGATTCTGCAGCTTCAACCTCGGAGAGACCGAAGAAGGCTCCGGTCAATGCGTTGGCGCGCTTTCCGGCGAGGACCTCGGCCTCGGGGACAACGTCTGGCTGCTCGGAGACAGGTACGTCGTATAGCCACGTGCGCTACTGAAATACAAAGGGTGAACTGGTCGCTGCTGTCTAGCTTCATGAAGAACGTTTACACGGCGTTTGATTTTGATCACAAGCAGGTCGGCTTCGCGGCGTTGGCTTGAGCATGCGATCAAGAGCTTCCGTGGTATCCACAGATCACAATTGCTCAAGTGCTCTGTATCCGGAGGTCCATAAATATATGTTTTGTCTTACTACCCATGCCTTGTCCAGGTGTGGCTGTCATTCTCTACCAATAGTCACTCTTTGAGACATTGTACAGTACTGCTGGCGTTAATTTGCCGACGATCTCGTACTCTTGATCGTCGCAAGGACGATTCCCGATGTCTACAAACGGCTCTAAGACCATTGGAAGATGCATAGTAGTATCATGCTTCCCAGAAGGAGCAGTTTGAGCGGGTATAGGAGCTTTATTCGAGTGAACCCTAGGACCTTCAAAGGGGATTGACATAGTTTGTCTGGCCTTCTCTCAACGCGACAATCCATAAGCTGTACCAACACAAAGTAGTTTCCAGTATATTCTCACCTTCTTGGGTTCATTGAATGACGCATGTGCTAGATTTCCCAGAGAAACTTCCTACATAGTTCGTCTACTCGGCGAAACCCGGTGGAAGTGTGAATCGATGACGAGCGCCAATGATCAACGCACTGCAACCAGTGCCAGTCTCTGCTTCAGTCGTTGCCATTTCCTTCAGACTGGTGAAGAAGTGCTCATCGTCTTTGCCTGAGCCAAAGAAAGGAAAGTGACTACTGAGCTTTGAATGACTGATTTCTTAGGGCTGGAATGGCTCGCGAGACCGCGTAGTACGTGTCATCAATGCTTAGCCGAGCATAATCGCCTTAGGCCGTACAACCTATCGTGGGGCAACAAAAGCAACATCGGAGTATACGAGTTTCATTCATGCGTCACTTTTGGCCTTCATTTGTTCGTGACAGGTCAAAAGATGATAGGAGTCGCTCTGCCTTTGTGTACTTACAATGGTCGACGTATCGACATTGCAACGCTCAATCCCGAAACATCAAACTCTCAATGTCTGTAAACGCTTGGGAATCCATGTAGTATATATGGCATGCAGAGCCGACATCTCCATGCAACTCACTCCTGTCCATTCGACCTTGCCCCTTTAAGTTGAGAGTACAGCTCGTCCTTGATCCCTAGCCCGCCTCGAAAGCTCACGATCGTCAATATTGGACAAGCTCTACTCAAAGAGGTCAGCGATCGCTATGTCTCTGGCAATACGCACACCTCATCTGACCTCATCCGGTCATCTTTGCTTCCCTAGGCCTGGACCTCTGTGCCACAGCTTTGTGCATGTCTACATGGTAGCCGTTGGTGCACGCGTTCCACACGAGCAAGCGATTATTCAAGGTGTACGAGTGGGACCCTGGCACGACATATACTGCCTATGAAATCCGTACTAAACTCCACCTATCGGCTTGGTTCCCCGCTTCTATTGGCCAAAGACTCCTTTGTCAGACTCTCCCAAGCCTTCTTCAGATTCCAGCTATGTCCGATATTCTCGAGCATCAGGACAACGAGAAGCAGTCCGATGGCGACACAGTCACCGGACACTTCATCCAGAAGCAGTCTATCCCAAAGCGGCTGGTCAAGGCAGTCGGGGCGAATGCGGTAAGCCGTTGCTGTGGCTAGACTTCATGCCCTCCTCAACCGCTCATGACGAACATGTCTGCATAGCCCTAGAAGCAAGGCAATCTCGGCCGATATCATCTCAACGAAGCAAACGGGGAGACTCAGACAACTGATTCGCACAGTGCTACCCTTTCGACCACGTACTCAGACTAGCGCTTCTATGACGTTCGCGAAGGCTGCCACCACTACTGCTATAGCCCATTTCACATCAAAAATGTCTGCATCTCCCAGTAACTGTAACGGTGGCGTCACGGATGACGCACCGTCACAGAGAAGTACGGCAGTACCCGGCTTAGTCACCCGAGGTAACGGTGCTTAGTGGCTGTAACGGGCTGGGAAAGTGGGACGGGTAGTCCAACGGTTGTGCGTGGTGCAATTCCCGCACGTTCCATTTTCAGCTAGTCGTTACATTTGGTGGAACGTCAGTGAATGCGTTCGAACCCCGGCTCAACCAATGGCATTTGGTTTCCCCAGGCCTCGATCGAGAGAGGGGGGATGTAACGGTGGCGTCACGGATGACGCACCGTCACAGAGAAGTACGGCAGTACCCGGCTTAGTCACCCGAGGTAACGGTGCTTAGTGGCTGTAACGGGCTGGGAAAGTGGGACGGGTAGTCCAACGGTTGTGCGTGGTGCAATTCCCGCACGTTCCATTTTCAGCTAGTCGTTACAGTAACCCAGGTCAATATGCTCAGCACTCGCCGACGGGGGAATACGTCCAGAAGCAGTCCATCCCGAAGTCGGTGGCGAGGGCGATTCCCAAGCACGACGTAAGACTACATGACTTCGAGAGCGCCTCTGCATAAACTCACCAGGTTGGCTAGATTGTAAACACAATGATGCTTCTGGGGGTTGGAGGGCATGAGCGGGAAGCTAAGGTTCGGAACGCCACAGGCTGAGCGGGCGAACGCCAGGAGGCGGCTGCTGCTGCGCGCTCTCAAGAAGGCGAAGGCGGCGTGCCCGCCTTTTACGACCGTACCTCTTCCTGCAACAACGAAGGCAGAGGTAGATAATGGTCGTCTTCGACGGCTACGCCTCTTGCTCTTGCCACAAAAGCGAAGGTGAGCAAACATCCCGCCGACCGGAGCCTGGGTGATCTGTTGACTCTTACGTCCATACAGCCTGATGACGTACACCCCATCGAAGTCCGACTAGTCTCATCGTCCGCGAAACCACCAGCCTCTGCACTCGCTGAGAACATCATGGCAGAGGATGTCCTTTTATAATGTACTAGCAAAGAACTTGCATGGTCTATCGACCCTTATAAACATCAGGTCGACCATCGTTGTTCCATGCGCGCGTCCTGACAGAATCCTAACCCCAGGTCTCAGTTGTCGGGTACTTCGTATGTTCAAGCGTCTTCGCCGCAGCTATTCTGGGTGGAGCGCTTATGGAGCGCCACAACTCGTCACCGCCGTCAAAATCAGATTCCGAACCTCGAGGAGGGGTACGAGATATCTCGTGTACTTGATAGTATCAGCGGGAGAAGTTCCTGGGCGGTCACTCACCGCCCCAGGCCCCAGGACTACATATTGGGATATCCGAACGAGTCATTCGTCCAAATTGGTCACACTGTGCCCGCAGGAATTTCTAGAATTGGCGTACAAGGTCGACTTCTCGCCAACTGAGATGGTTTAGCTCCGTTTATGCCTTTGGTCTGAGTGTAGTAGTGCAGAGCGTCCCAGGTTTACTCAGACGGCAGAAGGTGGCGTATAATCAGGCTGTCCTCCAAGTAAACCTAGGACCGACACCTACAGCATATAAACGGGTCTAATATACATGATGATAAGGGTATAAGGATAGGTATATGCAGGAAGAGGCTATATAGTATGTGCAGCACGAATGGACGAGATGGACAGAGAGCTGGGCATAATGACTGTCCGCAGACACCAGATGAGGAACAAGGGCGCCAAAAGCAAGGCAAAACAAGGAAAAACACAAAGGACAGCAGTAGCGGATGGCACAGAGAACCGGCCACAGCAAGCAGAACGCCACTCAAGAGGTACCGAGTATGTGAACAGTCCATTGTTTACGTTTCAAAAAGAGCGCCAAGAAACAAGGGGTGTAAGTCATAAAATCGTGCGTTCGTGAGCCGCAGGCAAGACAAAGGGCGAGGATCAGGTATCAGTGTCGGGGGTAACGGCCAGCTTGGGACGAGTGGGGCGGCCTGAGATGAGACGAGTAGAGAGCCCTCTCTGGAGAGGGGTAAGCAGGCTCGGCTTGAGAGACGTAGAGAGGCCCCCCCTCAGACGAGTACGGGTGACCAGCGGGAAGGAAGTACGACAACCCAGCTTGAGACGGATACGCATGAGCAACCGGAGCGGGATAGTAGCCAGAGCCAGAGGGACCCGGAGCAGAGTGCGACGCGTGCATGTAGCCTGATGCCGGGGGAGCGTAGGCCTCTTGCTGCGCGTCGGAGTACGCGAGTACGGGTTCGGTGGTCTCGCCGAAGATGCCCTCTGGGAAGAACAGGTGCTGCGATTGCGACAAGTCCGGCGCTGCAGCGGCTGCCGGTAAGCCATGCCGGTTCATGAGCGGATGCGGGGGACGGGGCGTACCGGACATGCTCGCGTAAGAGGTATGCTGTCCGTAGTGGGATCCTTGGGGGTGCCTTATCGCGGTCATTGCCGTTGGTTGCGGGTTCCCAGAAAACATCATGTCGAGTGGGAACTGATCCGGGGGGAGGGGCGGAAGGTCAGACGGGTCTTGAAGGCGCTGAGGATCAGACACAGCGCGGGAGCCAAGTAGACTTGCGGAGTGCTCACCGGAGGGCCCATATGTCGGAGAGCTATCGAAGTCGAACTCCCCAACCATCCCAATAAACGGCGAAGGCGTCGCCGAGCTGGGCGGATGGCTCGGCGCGCGCAGTGAACTAGGGCTGTGAGGAGCCGACGACGGATATTGCCAGTATTCACCATAAGCTGGCGATGGATCTGGGAGCCAGTATGGCCCCGTCCTTGGGTCATGCTGCCGAGAAGGTGTCAACGGCAAGGATGCCGTGGACGGTGTGTCAGCCCAGTTCGACGAAGACAGGCCTTGAGGGGAGTACTGCACGCCAGAACCCGGAGTATCTGGCGTGAGGCGATCTCCTCCAGAAAAGGCAACTGACGGTATCGGAGACATGGGCGAGAGCGCGTTGGTCCGGACCTGACTCGACTGGGGGCCGGCGGTGGGGAAGTGTCCGACAGTCCGCGGCCAGGATCGGGGCCCCGCGAGCGATCCACTGTCATCTGCATACATGCGCGGAAGCACGCTGCTCGAGTTGCTTCGGTGGAAGTGGCTTTCTCCGGGATGAGCAATGACGGGCACTTCGGGAGTGCTTCGAGTTTGACGGTGTCCCGGGCCCCCGCTGCCCGCCGGTGCTGCAATCGATGGACGGCGTCGCTTCGAAGGTCCAGCCTCTGTCGGGACATCGTCTGCCTGACGCGTGCGTGTCACTGTCGAGGCGTGAGCAGCCTGACCAGTGTATGTTACTGTCGGTGGTGCAAGCATTGTTCCTCGTGCCGTTACCGCAAGCGCAGGTGCCACTGGAGCTGCTTCGTGTGCGCCCACACTTGGGCGGCGCTCACCGTGTCGCGACGATCCAGCGCCCTCACCTCGGTCTGCGCCCGCGCCTTGCCCGCGCCCAGGCGACCGTCGCGGCCGCGTGGCGGCGGGCAAAGACGTGAACTGGCCGTCTTGAGACAGCTGGAAAACGCCCTGATGCGATCCGCCAGGATGTGGTCTGGCTGCGGGAGGGATTTGAAATGAGTCTTCGAACGTCTGCACGGGGCCTGGCGCCTCTTTGGGCCTGCCAAACGGCCGGCGGCTCTGCAAATGATGGCGCACCGTCATATTAGCGTCCCGTCGTGCCGCACAGTGATATGCAAGGACGCACCTCGCGTTTCGGCTTCGACGGGGGTTTGTCCTTGTACGACATGATCCGAGTCGGTGCTGGGATTGGCTATAGTTGTACTCGTCTGATGCTGGTCGGGGCCGCGTTGGCGAATGCGGCAGGAGGCGGCGTGGGGAGGGGGGACTGAGTGAAGGACGATCTCCGTCCCGAGCACTTTTAAGTGCGCATCGCAAAACGCCGCATGCGCGGGACATAGCCCGTGCAGTTATTCAGCGTCTTCTCCACAGATTCTTGAACTCGCCGCCGCGGGGAAATCTGAGATTACCGCCTCCGTCGGACAGAGAGACAGACGTGCCACGCACAGGCACCGCATCCCTGGGCTCGGAATTGGTGAGCATGATGTGATTTGCTGGACGGAAAGTGTAAATAGCCGTAGTAGTCCGGAGCCCTGCACAGCGTCTCCGCTCCGGCTCTGCGGGGGTTGGGACTGACGGCGAGACACCGAGAGCGGGCTCCGGAGCAGGGCGCGGATGCTTTTGGGAGAAAATGCGCCGATGGTTACAAGGCACAGCTTTGCACATGGCAGGCGACCATGCTATACCACTCGCCGCCCGAATACTCGAGCTAGAGTCCCAGGGAAGAATAGGACAGTCGGATATATGACCCCTCTCGGATATCTCGCCAACTCCGGCTTGCACATCCATCCCAATAGAAGCAAAAAGAATAACGATTCTGGAGCATCTGCACGAGTGCAAGTAGGAATATACAAGGTAGGCTGCCTTGCCCTGTATAGCACCGTTGACGTATTCACGGACACCGCCGAGAGGCACGCGTGGGTAGCGCTCACAGCCTCCCCATCTAAACATACTTGGTGCTCAGAAGGCGGGCTGCAAGGATGATGCGAACACCATCGGAGCCTGGCTCGGTATTACGGCAGCGACCGACATACACGAGGCATGGAAGGGCCAAGGCACTATACTGAGAGAAGCGGTCCTGTCAAGGTCCTCCGGCTGTGATTACGTCGTCGTGGCAGAGCGAGTGACGAGGCCTGGCAGCAGGTGCCAACAGTGCGCAGATCGTAGACAGCTGCTGTCGCTGAGATATCTCAATCACGGCTGACACAATGACAAAGCTTGTTCGACATCGCGCTAATACATACGTGGTGCGCGAGATAGGGGCAAGGCCACGCGACATGAGACAACGATGGCTTCGCGAGATATGAATGCCGTACAGATCTTAAGAGGGACGCGGTCAGCCAACCAGAGAGGAGGAGGAGAATGGAGACGAGGCAGCGGCGGAAGGGGGGAGCAGTCGACTGCGCATAACGAGCTTCGTGGGCGCGAACGGCGATCGTTCAAGCGACGCGCTACCGTCAGATTGTAGATGGTAATCGCTGCCGCATCGCTGAGATGTGTGTAACGGACCAAGAGGAGGACCACTTCATTCGCAGCGTCGGAACGGCTGGTCTCCGGCCTAACAACTGGGCTTGGCCCTTGGTCGTCCAAATCACTGCCTGCGTGAGAAGGTCCCCCTTCGCTTGTCCTCCCACGACTCGCCGCCTGGGCGCAGTTATTGCGCATGGCAATCAATATGAATACCGGAGGACTTACGGGATGGAGGGCAGCGGGCTGCCGCAGCACTACTCATACCCCAGCTTGCGCCGCTCGTCTCGGTCTTTTTCCAATTTATCAACCTCCTCTCTAGCGTCACGGATGGTTTCGTCCCAAGATACGAAGAGTTCCGACAGGGTGTCGACCTGCGGTTGTAGTTCAGGTGGGGATTGACAGAAATGAGTTCCGCCATGGGAATCAGGAGCGATAAGCGAGGTGAACAGCAGCACGATGATCCCGAGCAGTCGGAGACGTACGTTTGTTGCATAGTGGTCCATGAGAAGCGCGATTCGCTTCTCCAAGTCAGCTGCCACACGCGAATCTTCATCGTGCGCCTGAAGCAACGCCTCCAGGCGGGGCTGTAGCGCTTCGTAGTCACCAAGCTTACCCGCGCCAGTGACACCCTTGCTTTCGAGCGCATTAATTTCGCGCAAGTCGCGCTCGGCGGCACGAATATCCGACTCCATCTCGGCGAGGAACGCATCGAGTTCGGTGGCCGACATGCTCTCGTACGTGGGCGGACTAACGGGGAGCGACCCCGATAGCGCGAAGGCTGGGGTAAGCATGTGCGCGTATTGCTCGTCTGCGGACGCGGACCATCAGTCCCAATTTGTGATGAACGTACGGCAAGGAACTGAAGCTCAACGGTCATCAGACAGGCCACAGTGCTTGTGAGCGAAGATACATGGAGCATCGCGCGATGCGCTCACATAGTAGTGTGCTTGTTCACAACCTGATACCGATGGCATCGCACAACAGTCGAGCTTCCCCCCCCGTGCAGGGAACCATCGACCACACGGTGCCTGTTTGCTCATCTGCTGACACTTTTTGCACCCGTCGCAATAATACTCAATCAAGGCTGGCGATGTCTGTGCCATCAGGGGTATAGAAATGCCGGCGATACGAGGTGCAAGGATAAGTTCAGACTTAGCGCACTCACATCGGTCCATGAAACGTTTCAGTGCGTCATTGCTCTGCGCGACACTGTCTAACCTCCGCTGGAGGTCCTCCGCTCGGCGCGTCAGACTTTCTCCGTCCTTGAGTTTCTCCGCCTTGACCCCACCCTTGCCCGACTGCTCCGGCACGTCATGTTTCGCACCGAAAAGCAGCGTCTCCAGCCATCGCAGCCGCAGCTCCAACGACAATGCAGGAGAAATTGAAGGCGGTGCGACCTGCGTGGCAGGGGGCTTCTGCTGATCAGCGTCATCCAGGTCGACGTCGCTGAAGCTGAACGTCGCGCTGGAGCCGACGTTCGGGGGCGGTGAGGAGGGCGGGGTGGACGTCGATAAATGCCGGTGCCGCTGTACGTCGCCTAGGAACACACTTCCGATGTGAGACATTACGTATGGAAAAGCAGAGCACAGAAGGCCGTCGTCGTCGGTGAGAGACTACGAGCGAGGGGGTCGGGGGTAATTGTCGACAGGAAGGGACGATGGCGGTGAGGACGGGAGCTGGCGGGGGGCTGTGACCTCTGAGCGCGAGCGTGGCGTGGGCGCCTCGCTGCGTTGGGTCGGCCCAAGACGCGTCCCGCCCCTGCGCGCTCTCACCTCTCCCTCCGACCACCACCACAACGCCCCCCGCCTCCCACTGCCCATCATGTCGTACGTGAATCAGTCTCCATGTATCCGATCCTATGCTCAATGCATTCACGTCGTCCAGGGAAACACCACAACCCACAGCCACGTCCGAACCACAGGTGTCATTGGAAGAGACCATCGAACTCGCCAAACGCGCCTTCGCGCTCAAGAAGTATGAGCAGGCGGTGGAGCATTACGCCTCTGCACTTGAACTGGTGTGAGTGACACGCACGCGGCGCGTCCATCGACGCGTCATGCGCGCGCAGCTGACCGCGTCCTGCCACTGCACCCACAGCACAAAGAAGCACGGAGAGAAGGCTCCCGAGACCGCAGACCTCTATTTCGCGTACGGCAAGGCGCTGCTAGAAAATGCTATCGCGCAAAGTGGTGTTCTGGGGAAACAGGATCCTGATGATTCATTGGACGACAGAGGTACGTACGCAGACTTGGGCTGTGGCTCAGGTCGCCCCTCCTTCTGGACTCTGTCTATGCAGCCACGTGGAAGTATTGGACAAGGGCGTTGCACTGGCTAGTTGAGATTGCCTACACGCCTGCCTGTCATGAGCTACCCGACATACATTCCAATGTCATAGTGCTGGGCAACTGTGGTCGATTGTGCATTTCCAGACCCTTGTTTGGTATACCCTGCGTACAGCCAATCTCGTTTCTATCTAATCCAGGCACATGGCACATGTCCGCATATTTTAACTATGTCTGAATCGTCTCACTCTTGCATAGCACGTCGCGTATTGCGTGGCGTGCGCCGCAAGCCGTCCTCTCCGTCTCAGTACCCTGTTTGCCGTGCGTGATGGGCGTTGCTCCGAAGAGGAACTGGCGTCCTATCGATATGGACGCTCTCCGGGTCAATGCACAGCCTTCGTCTACTAAATTCCAGACCTTATACCTTTCCTTGGTGCACATGCAGAACCACACCTTGCCTTTCCCGTGTTAGGGCACTGTCGCGCCTGCTGCGAACGAACACATGCTAACCACCTTATGTACAACAGATGACGCAGCCAACAGCGGCGCGTTCCTCTCTTTCTCAGGAGATGGGGAAGATGAGGCCGTGGACCTCTTCGCGGAGGCACAGAAATCTGTAGACGAAACGGAGGCTGCCGCTCAACAAGAGGAAGAAGACGACGAAGCGGAACCGGAAGATGACTTCAATGCTGCGTGGGAGGTGCTCGACCTTGCGCGCGCCATCTACGAAAAGCAACAAGACGAGTCTGAAGAAGTCAAGCTCAAGCTCGCCGAAGTGTTCATCACGCTTGGGGACGTATCATTGGAGACAGGTCCGCTTCCTCCCATTCTTCGCCTCTAGGCACACCGACTGACGTGTCTCACGCAGAGAAATTCGATCAAGCCATAACCGACTACTCTGCTGGCCTAAAGCTCAAAACCGACCTTCTCCCCCTCTCGTCGCGCCAGATCGCAGAGGCACATTACAAGCTCAGCATTGTGCTCGACCTGACCGCTGGCCGTTTGGGAGACTCGATAACCCACGCGGAGCGCGCGCTCGACAGCGTAGAAGCACGGTTAGCCGAACTGCGTGCCGCGCTCAGCGGCCAGGGTCTCGTCAAGCCGCCGGAACAGAAGGAGGACGCCAAAGGCAAGGGCAAGGCTACAGGCCCGGCCCTGCTCGGAGACGATGCTATCGTGCACATGACGAAGGCGCAAATGGAAGCCGAGGAGAAGGAGCTGCAGGGCCTCCGGGAAGACCTCGCTTTGAAGGTAAGCGCAGCTCGTCCCTTAGGCGCCAAGTGCCACCTCTTGCGGCTTGTCGCCTATTGCATCCACCTGCTAATCGCGCGTGTCGTTTCGCCATGATAGGTGGAGGAGCTCAAAACGTCTCCGAACGAGCCAGCCGACTCTGCGCCCGCGTTAGTGGCCAAGGCGCTGGACCAGGAGCTCAACGCAGGGTCTACCGCAGGGACTGTCAAACAGTCAGAGGTACATGATTTAACGGGCCTTGTGAAAAAGAAAAAGAAGAATGTGGACGCGAACGGAGATGCAACCGCAACTGCGTCGGCTGCGACGACCAAGCGGAAAGCCGAAGACAACGCTGAGGAAGCCCAAACAGAGAAGAAAGCCAAACTTGAGGACCCCACTTCGTGACATCTGTCATTCATGCCACCCCATTGTACACCTTTCTTCGTCTATCCTCCTTCACCCGGCTTATCTACCTGCGGCATTGTATCCATATCCATATACGCTACAACTCCCAATATACACTGCTTTCGCGCTTTGTTTTGTTTCCAATCCACCATCTCAACAGGGACCACATGCCGCTCTCTTCGCGCCCTCAGATTCAGAATGGCACAGTCGCCGCCTCGATCTTCCTATGCTTGTACCTCTTCTTCCCTTCCCCTGCCCCAAACTCGCCCACCACGTGCCCCTCGCCGCCCTTACTTTTCAAGACGTACTTGTACGTCACCAGTCCCTCCAGCCCGACTGGCCCCCGCGCGTGGATGCGCCCTGTGCTGATCCCGACCTCCGTCCCGAACCCATACCGGAACCCGTCGGCGAAGCGCGTCGAAGCGTTCACGAACGTCCCCGCCGAGTCGACCCCGCGGCAGAACACGGACGCAGCAGCCTCGTCTTCGGTCACGATGCTGTCCGTGTGATGGGAGGAGTGCGCGTTGATGTGCGCGATCGCCGCCGCAAGCGAGGGCACGGTCAGGACGGAGAGCGTGAGGCTCAGGTGTTCGGTCGTGTACGCCTCGGGGGGCGCTGGGGAGGCATGTGTGGCGAAATTCGCGGGGGCAGGCGAGAGCGACTGGAGGGCGGCGAGGGAGGGAGTGTCGCAGAGGAGCTTGACGTCGGCTGCGAGGAGGGCCTTAGCGACGTCTGGCCAGATGGTGTGGAGGATGCTATCGTGCAGAATGAGCGTCTCTGCTGCGTTGCATGCGGCAGGGTAGTCGATCTGTAGCCAACAGGGTCAGATTCTACACACGAGTACGAGTACGGATATAATTTCACGTAGGATGGCAGTAGTATGAGGGTGAATGCATACCTTGGAGTCGACCGCGACGCGAGTTGCCTTCTTAGGGTCCGCCGAGGCATCGATGTAGACAGAGCACAGGCCATCCGCGTGCCCCATGACGGGGATGCGCGTGCTGTTCTGGATGTTGCGGACGAGGCTGTTGCTCCCGCGTGGGATGACAAGGTCGATGTACTGGTCGAGCCCTAGCAGGGCGGATACTTCGGCTCGCGTCTGGATGGCTTGGATGTAGGTCGATGGAATGGATGTTTTAGACAGGGCTCCCTGGATGGCGCTGGAAAGGAGCTTGGTGGTCTCATTGGATTCTTTGCCCCCCTTCAGGATAGCGGCATTTCCTAGGATCGTATGTTCTCAGTGAGATCAAGCAGCATTTGTAGATGTAGGCGGATGTGGACTCTACCGGATTTTATGGCGAGCGAGGCGATGTTGACGACTACCTCCGGACGCGCTTCGAAAATTACGAGCAGCACGCCGATCGGACATGACACCCGGTAGAGTTCGAGATCGTCGTCCAGTTCGGAGGCATAAGAAACGATGCCATTAGGATCAGGCAGGCCCGCCACGTCGGTTATGCCTTGAAGCATTGAGTCCCACTTGTCCCCCTTGTTGAGGTCTAGCCTCTTCAACAGGGAGCCGGACATGCGTCCAGCATCCACTTCTTTCTGGGCTGCCTGATAATGGGAAGGACGGCTCAGTCTCGGCGTTATTTTCAATTGATTGATCATGCAAGAGTCACCTCAAGGTCTTGCCTATTCGCAGCCAGAATCTCATCCTTGGCGGCCTCGAGCTCTCTGCGGATCTCATGGAGCGCCTGCACTCGTTCCGAGGATGGGATGAGCTGCGAAGTCTCAAAAGCTGTCTTTGCCGCTTTCGCGATCTCTGTCGCGTCACTCATTGTCAACAGGGTCCTGACAGTTGATGGCGAGATCCCTTGTTGAGGTTGGCTGAACTCGCGGAGATCGTTTATAGAAGATGCAGACGAGAGGGAGAACCTGACTCGGATCGCCAAAACGACATACCTGAACCTCGCTGGATACGACCGGCGTCAACCGCGGGTTCCCGCAGGGGCGCGGTCCGTTTGCACTCATACGATCTACACCATCAAGCCCATTCCGGCTGTTTTCAGAACGATAGGCCCTTGCACGACCTTTGATACTAGTGTGACCCCAGAAGCTACGGTCATAACGTATCTCGTACATATCTCCCTCCCATCCTCGCCGATACATTTCAGACTTCGCACACTTCATTCGCATCTTGGATTGTACATACGTGTGAAATATGAAGAAAACCGGTGAAGGTTTGCATTGAGCATCGCGGAAATTACACGTCTGAGCCCAGAAGCTACGGAAAGGCGTCCACAGATTGTCATGGATGGTCACAATGTCGAAGACTGCCGATTTGAACACCGCTGTTATCAGTGGTTTGATAGCGAAGTTGGCCGAGGCAACACTGTCGAGGCGCTCAGATTAATAGTCAGCTTCATCTCGGTCAATGGCTGAATGTCACGCTCGAGAGACCTCTTCCCATCCTTCGAATACCGCAACGCGGAATCCTTCCGAAACTGAACAAGAACCTTCATTGAAAATGTTCAGAACACTTTACAAACCTACAGAAAGATCGGCGCCGCAGATCTTTTTGTGGCAACTCAGCAAAGTCAGTAAACCCTTGAAACCCTATTGAGATTGACTTGTATCGGGAGCAAATCCCTTCCAATTTCCTTCCTTCTTTTTGACATTGATCATTAGGAAGTACGTTGTCGCTTGTGTAACCCGTGCACACTTTTTGACAGGGAAATGCGAGAACTGGAGGCGTGTCAGTGGCTTCTGGGGTCGCTAGTAGTACACACAGCCGGTCCTCAAAATGAGCGGCCCAAACCAAGGTTTAGCGGGACACCCGAAGTCCGAGATCAGGCTGAGCTCGGCATGGCCTCATCCAGACATCGAAAGGCTGCGGCTATTGTGCTGAGTTACCTCGCGAGTTACATTAACGTTAAACTCTCTATGGTCTGACATTGTATGTAGAAATGCGTGCAGAGGCCTATCGTTTTGAAAACAGCTGTCACTCTCAGTACCTTCTTCGTGTATGTCGCGGGCACAAAGGTAACTTCAACTGGGACATATGCTCATGTTCCTTCTAGCACTGCCGGCGGCGGCGCCCCGAAGCCAATCGATGATCATGGGCATTGAAACAGAAAGTCCTTCTCCGAGTCGGGAAGTCATCTGTGTGGGTCATATACTCAGCCAAATATTGTGGATATCGGTCAGTACAGGAATTCAGTCAGGAGGTCCGATCCCGCTGCCGTTAGAGACCATCTTCAGTTTCCTTTCCCTCACTAGGACCCGTCGACTAAAGCTATGGGCGCATTTCTAAAGGTTGGGATGAGAAGTCCGCCCGATCGATGTCCAAATTGTGATATTCGATTCGGGATCCGTGGTGTCTCTCTGAGGCTTGTTTACGACAGCGGCACTCGCACAACGCACACAGTCCCGCCTTAGTACGGACATACTTGAGGCACAGAAGAGAAGGTGAGAATAAATCAAGGCCATACATCGGCAGCATGCATGGGGACCCCGGCCACTAGCCCATCGAGCATGAATTAATGGCATGTATACGAATAGCTTGAACTGTACAGTTACGCCGGGTATCCTCTCTTGGGCGAGACATCAGAAACCAATGTACTATCGTATCATGAAGGAGCGTCAGCACCGCAACGGTGCCAGTATATATCGCACTAATCCAGTCCGAGCCGCCCCATCCCCACCCAGGGCCTGTATGTAGCCAACCTATGATATCATCCCGGCCCGATAAGTAAGAGCAGTAGCGTTGTACGGGCCAGACTGCGACTGTGGATAGTAAAATGCGATACGCAGAAGCAAGCGAACACGTCGCAGATTAAGGCCAGTGAGGGTGGGAAGAGACAGCCAACAAAGCTAGCAAAGTAAGGTGCAAAAAAGGAGTGCAGGTCGCAAAAAGGCAAAAGGAGCGCGGGGATACGGGTCGTGACAATATACGGAAGCGAAAGCGAGGGACACACAGCTGGCTACTACGCGATCATGAATGAGGGACGGATAGGTTGAGGAGACGGGCCTTAAATAAGGGACTGCTGTTGCTGCTGGGGCTGCTGCTGCTTCGACGGGTCGGTCACGCCATTCAACCCTCCGAAGCCGCCGCTAAGCCCAAACGAGCCCGAGCCAAACGCGCCCGAGCTAAAGGCAGACGTCGCCCCCGTCGGGTTCGTGCCCAACCCGCCCAAGCCGAATGGCTTGTTCGTCGAACCCCCCGCCCCGCCCCCAAACGAAGGCGTCGACGACGAGTTCAAGAAGGACGGTGTTGACCCAAAGCCGCCGGTGGGGTTTGAGTCCGTCGAGAACATCGATGCACGGAAGGGGTTTGCCCCGCCGAGTGCCCCGGTGGCTTGTGGTCGGAGGCCGCTCCCAAGGCCCGTCGGCTGGGAGTTCAGGCTGAAGCCTGGGAAGCCCGTCGTCTGAGAGGTGATCGATGACCCAGGATTGGACGCTGGAGGCGTCGACGGCTGCGAGGGAATCGGAGGTAGGGACTCCAGAAGCGCCGCGCCGAACGAGGACGACGGCTTGAACGGCTTGAGGCCACTGAAGCCCGTCGTCTGCCTCTGCAGAGGCGCGCTGCCCGCTGAGGAGACGGAGATCGATGGCGCACCCGCGGAGCTCGTCGTCGCAGTCGTGCCGGTGGGTTGCGAAGAAAGCGAAGAGAAGAGTGAGTCCGAGAATGTCGACCCGGTCGTTGTACTTGAAGTCGGCTGCGACGAGAGCGGGGAGAAGCTCCCGGAGCCCTGGTTCTGATTCTGCGTCCCACCTGGCTTCGAAGAATCGAATGCAAACGACGATGCCACGTTCGCCATGAGCGACGACCCGCTCGGGTTAGCCCCATTCGCACTCGGACCGGTCCCGTTCGGCTGCTGCGCCGAGTTCGAGGCTGCAAACGAGCCAAAGCTCGGGAAACCGCCCGTCTGCATCGGCTGCTGTTGCTGACCTTGAGTGCTTATGCCCATCGCGAGCTCCATGAGCGTCGGGGGCTTAGGCACCGGCGGCGGAGTCGTTACCGGCTGCCCAAACGGATTGCGCGAACCCGTCTGGTGCGTGTTGACAGGCTGTGCTGGTGGCGGCGAGGCCGACTTTCCGGGGCCGGTGAGAGGCGCCGTCGCCGAACGCGGCGGGACCGATTGATTGTTGATGGATCCATTCGACGCGGGCTGCGCGAACGGTTGGGCAAAGGTGGGTGCGGCCGACGCGGTCGCGGAAGGCGCATTTGCGAATGCGTTGCCGAAGGGGAAGGAAGGCTGACCGGTGGGTTGTGGCTGCGACGGCTGAGGCTGGAACGGACTCGAGGTTTGCATGGGATTCTGTGGTTGTGAGGACTGTACGGGGAACGGGTTCGTGCTCTGTGGGGCGCCGCCAAACGGCGTACCAGTTGTGTGGGGGAACAGCATGCTCTGACGGAATGGGTTCGCGCCCGTCATCTGGGGTTGCAAGAAGCCCGTCTGCTGGGGAGCGAGGAAAGGCTGGAATGGCTGCTGTGGCTGCTGCTGCTGTTGGGCTTGCAAACCGAACGGATTCGTACCGCCCATAGGCATTGCTGTTTGCTGAGGAATTAGGAATCCTGTGGGCTGCGCCGCGAGCTGTGGCTGCCCGAATGCCTGCGCGCCGAGCATGACGCCAGTCATCATCTGCTGTTGCTGGAATGGATTCTGTATGGCTTGGTTGTGGAAGTAGGTCGAGGTTGGGCTGCTCCTATGTCAGCATGGCTGAAACACGCATGTCATCGACTGAACTCACCTGTTGGTCTGCGGGTTGAACATGGTCTGTTGCTCCGTCTCAATAGCACTGAAGAAGTCGATCAAAGCCTTCTGCCCAGGCGTTTTCGGCCCCGCGTCAGGGGTCTTCGACGAACCTGCTTCTGCCGGTTTTGGTGATGCCGCTACGACGACAAACAATCAAGATGTGCAGGCAGCGCACTTAATAGACAAACTCACGTTTGTCAACGGGCTTAGGTGACGGCCTGATGCCCAGCTTAGCATTTCGCTCGGCGGCCTCCTTCTGCGTCTTGTATTCTATCCTGTTTTGCTCGAAGTTCGGGTCATTCAAGTACTCTTCGAGCGAGCTCGCAAGAGAGACGGGTGCCTGATCATAAGTTAGGTTACGCGTAAAAGGGGAGGATTTCTAGAACATACATGTCGGAGATTTGGTATTGGTACATTGAGGAGATTCTGCAACTTCTTCGCGACACCGAGATACTCGACCACTTGCTCAGTCTGTTTGCAGAAGTGCTTATAAATGGTGAGTGCTTCTTGCGCGTCAATGTGGGACATCTCGAAGTAGTGCTCCAGAACGTTGATGACGCCCTCGTTGCATGCCTGAAACAGGATCAAGAGATCCTTGACCAACATCCGCAGCGCGGTGATGTTGAGTTCGTCCTCGAGGTTATCAAGGTAAAACTGAACATAGACATATGAAAAGGGTCAAAAGGAGGAAGGTACGAGTTGAGGACGTACCCGGCAATCTACCAGGGAGTCCACCATTCTCTGCACGATCTTCGTCTCCCGCAATAGGCCCTTCTCGACTGTCATCACACGCAATTTCCGACCGGCCAACGTTTTGCTCCGCTGGAGCCCGCCACCTAAGGGAGACGAAGACGGTGGCGGAGGGTTCTTACTGCGCTTGTTGCGACTCCCGCGGGTCTCCTCCAGCTCCTCGTCGATCGCGGCTGAGTTGCGCATATCGCGGTTGGTCTCGGATTGCACGCGAATCGCGTCATGCTTGAGCTCGCGGTATGCCCGTATCCGAGTGTCAAGATACTTGGCGTAATTCTGTAGGTTCTGCGGCGCCTGGTAGCCTGCACAGCCGCGATGAGATCATTCGCCATGACACACGGGACGACAGGAAGGGTGCACCTTCCCAGTTGCCCGACGAAACATTGCGCAGCTTGAGGACGTCGGAGGAAGAGAGGTACTGGAGGATGTTGTCTGTCGCGCCGTTGCGGATCATGGTGTGGAGGACAATGAGGGCCTTGAACACGACCTGGGGGCACGGTTACTGCCGGATGAGGGAGGACAAACGGGGCGCACGCACGATGACGTTCGGCTCGCGGAACCTCGGGGACAGGGCCTTGCATACGTCGTGCACTGCGCCATCTTCTGACCAGGTAGCGGCGATGATTGGGTCCAAGTACTGCGAGATGGAATGCGCGAGAGAAAGGCGGTGACGGTCAGCAGGAGTTGGGAGGATGATAGGATGTGCGGGCACACCTTGGCCTTCGGTGGGGCAGCTTTGGGCTTGCAAGCAAGCTTCACGGTCTTCTCGAAGCTCGTCATGAGCGTGGCAGAAGAAGTGGAGGATGGCGGGAGTAATGTACACGGCGGGAGGGACGACGAGCGCGCTGTACCTCGTCCCACTCCTCCAACCCGACCGGTTCCTCCGCGGCGCACCGCCCGGGAAACTCCGAGATTCTGGAGAGAAGGCAGCCCGAGGGCGGCGGTGCCGGCCGGGGATTGGCTGGCGAGAGGCGTGTGTGGCCGCGTGACGCCGGTGTGGACAGGCTGCCGAGCGGCACGGGGCAGTAGGTGTGAAGGACAGTGCTGTATGTAAGAGTATTCCTAGCAGCCGGAGGCCAATCACTGAACATGTCGGACGCCAAGGCGGCCTCCCTCTCGCCTCCACATTTCTATATAACCTCTCGTCTACATCCTCGCCGCGCTGCATCCCCGTTCCGTGCTCGCCGCCGTCGTCTCAGCGTCCCCAGGGGACCCTCCGACCGACCGGCTCCACCGCAGTCTCTATTCTCGACTCCTTCCACCGCAGTAGCGGATGCTTGACGATGGCCTTCATGCAACAGCTACCTCTGTATGTCCCTCCGATCTCCTTTGCTTTCGTATGTTGATTCGAAGCGCGGGCGACGCTGCGTCTTGACAGACGAATCAAGTCCGCTCGTTACATCACGGCTGCGGTAGCCGCGGTCTTCGTAGTCTCTACCCTTTACTACATTCAGACGCCCTCTCTCCCTCATTATCGCCCCTCTGAAAGCTTCGAGGCTCCTTGGGAGGTTCCTGCGACTGCTAAACCATGGGAGCGCCCTGTCGCGCCGTCGTCGCCGATATGGGACCATCGCGCAGCCGAGGTCAAGGACATGTACCGTCACGCGTACGCAGGTTACCTGCAGTATGCTACCGGCTTCGACGAGCTCCGCCCGTTGACCAACATGGCTGTTAACAAGTGCGTATCCGATGGCATCGTTGATTGCTTATTGTGACGCGTCTGCTCAGCTTCAACGGCTGGAACGTTACGATGTACGATTCCCTCGACACTATGCTGCTCATGGGCCTTCACGAGGAGTTTGCTGCCACTCTGCCTATAATTGCGCAGGCTAACTTCAGCGAGGTTAGTCTCTCTCTTTTTGCTCTGAGTTGTGCGATTGTCCATTGCGGTATACGAGCGGGGTCGGACTCTGGTAGACGCCACCTGCTCTGCGGCGGTTCTCGTGCTCCTGCCTCCTACTTGGCCCTGTATTCTTGCCGACGCATGGAATGCGCTTTCGACACGTTTCCCGCTTCTCAGGCGTCAGAGGGATCTACCAGCATTCCCCTCGCACAGGGAGGCCATCTGAACCTATGTGAAACGCTCTTCCATTTTTCGAAGTCGAACCACGCGTTTGGCAGACTGACGATCATGAGTATCTCCGTAGCCTGGATGTTGTGTCGGCACGTTGGCGGGCGCCGCAGGCTTCGTGTCTCACACCTCGGGCGTTCTCACACCGTCGACCATTCACACAACCTCGGCATGCAATCGGCAAGGATAACCTGGCTACCACCCGGAAATGGCGTCTCGCCGGTGAGATCGCTTCTTTCGGCGTGACGAGGTCGAATTACGGAATGTCGCGCTTGAGGATTTCCCGGTCTCTTAGCCTTGACAGCTGGAGCATCAGCTCGAGTGACTTACTAACCGTACTTCCAGATCAAGAGCACCCGATCCCCAGGAGCGAGGGGCTTGTACGCACCGTTCTTCGAGACCGTCATCCGGTATCTAGGCGGTCTTCTGTCGGCGTATGCCTTGTCAGGGGAGAAGGTCCTCCTTGAGAAGGCGGACGAGCTCGCCACGCTGCTGGAGCCCGCTTTCACCGACAACGGCCTCCCGGTGTATGGTATAGATACCGCAAGGTCAGCCATCTCCGTTTCCTCACACGCCAAGACATTGTTTGCGCACGAGCTCAACTTGACACATCAGCGGTAAGCCGACCCTGGGTCCCAGCGGCATTCTTGCAGAGATCGCGTCGTGCCAGTTGGAATGGACGTACCTCGCGCACGTCAGCGGCAGCAAGGTGCACTTCGACAAGGTAAGCATGTTACCCAGACTGCAATAAAATCTCAATTGATCGTGAGGCAGGGAAACCGAGTCATTCAAACCCTTGCGGAGGCCATGGCAGACGCAGGAGGTGGCATGTTCGCAACGAACTGGAACCTGGGCCTCGCAAGGCCCGGCGGGAGTAAGTAATACCTAACGCAATTTCTCGCAAGTCTAATCGTCGTCTAACTCTACCTAGGCCAGAAGTCAGTGGGGGCTGCGGCAGATAGCGCACATGAGTACCTCCTCAAGCAGTTTCTGCTGACCGACAAGAACGACATGGCTAACCTCGAGATGTGTACGTCTAGAGCAGCATGCTCGCTAACATCCCATGATCTGACCACAACGCCTTCAGACCTCCTCAGCATGAACGAAGTTCTCACCCGCCTCCTCTACGTCACGCCGAATCGCGAACTGCTTTTCGTCACAGACGTGTCCGGCAACAAGTTCTGGCCCTCGCGCAACTTCGAGCATCTTTCCTGCTTCTTCCCCGGGCTCCTCGCTCTGGGCGCACACATGCTCCCCCTGAACCTCTCCATCATCGACGTGCACAAACTGAGCCCCGAAGCGCAGCGGCAGTACCGCCTGCTCGAGCGCTACGACCTCCGCGAGCTGCACATGGCCGCCGCCGAGGGGCTCGCGACGGCGTGCTGGCTCATGTACGCGGACATGCCGTCCGGGCTCGGGCCCGAGATCGTGGCGATGGACCCGCGGAGCAGGCCGTGGATCGACGCGGTCGAGGAGTGGCGCGCGCGCGGGGCGGTGGGACAGATGCCGGGCTTGCGGGCGAACAAGCCGATCTTATATACGCGGCCGGCGAAGGCGAAGGTGGTCGAGGGCCCGTGGGATTATGCGATTAAGAGGGCGGAGTACTTCTTGAGGCCTGAGGTGAGTAATGTGCTTTGCTTGTATGGAACGCGGATATCATCGGCCCTCGAAGCTCCACGTGTCTTGTACACAAGCAGGCAACGTGCCCCTGTCTTGCCTGCAGCAACACATCCCGTGCTCTGGTCGGGGCTCGTTTGGCACTTGCCCCCTGACCATGAATGGCTAGGTACTAGGCTGGGGAAAAGGCAGCCCATGGGGAAGGTGTGAATGTGGGGCCTTGCAATATAGGAGCCCAGGTTTCCCGAGCTCGAGCGGCCCGGCGGAGGGTTGACGGCTGGCAATCGCGAGATCTTGTTGAACTGAAGTCGGTACCTGGCAGACGATCGAGTCGATCTATATCATGTGGCGCACGACCGGCGACCCTGCGTGGCGGGAGCGAGGATGGGCTATCTTCCAGGCCATCGAGAGGGAGTCGAAGACGCCGTCGGGATATGCGAGCTTGAGAAACGTGGCGGAGTCGCCTGCAGAGCAGACGGACGACCAGCCGAGGTATGTGCCACGTGCATGTCCTGAGTGTACTGGTAAGACTGACGGATGATATGTGTTCTGTCTAGCTACTTCCTTGCCGAAACGTGAGCCATTCTCGTAGTGCTGAGATTGTTGAATTGTGTCTAACGCGTTTCGTGCAGGCTGAAGTACCTCTACTTACTGTTCACTAACGACGACCCTGTGCCGCTCGATAAGTGGGTCTTCAATACGGAGGCCCATCCTCTTCCGGTTTTCTCCTGGAGCGATTGGGATACACAGCGTAAATGACTGCAAGTATCCCTGTACGCGTAGAATGTAGGTGGATGTCCGTGATGTCGCAGGGTGCAGATCGCGGCCGTCGCAAGGTTGCGAGTAGTCTCGTTCCCATCCGTTCTAGCGCTTACAGACAGTACCGCTAGAACGTCTGGTGCATTTCGGGCTCGGCAGAGGGCATTGTGACGATCAGTCACACCACGTGGGCTGACTAATGGCACGTGAGGGCTGTCGACACCGCATCGCGCGAGGCTGTTACCAAAAGATTGATGCCTGTTGTGTTCATGTAATCGATACATGCGAGAACGCGATCCTCGAGAGACATCCCACCAGCCTCCATGCTGTTGCTGAGCGCGCGGGTGTAGTTCTCGTATAGTGTGGAGCGCGCATGCGTGCGAGGAGGAGGGTCGGCAAGGGGAGGGGGTGAGGAATCCACTTCTACAATACATGAGTCCAGGTAATCGTCAGGATCAAATTCCCCGAGATCATTGTCGAAGGCTAGATATTCATCTTCCGCAAGCATAGTGGAGGTATAGTTACATGCAGACAGAAGAACGAGTGCGCGACATCGATCCCTCCGTCCCATCGTGCGCCTCCGATGTGATGTTGTCACATATGTAACGACGGACCATGGACCGGTGACCCGCCTGTCACAATGCCCTCTGCCGAGCCCGAAACACACCAGACGTTCTAAAGCCTCTCTCCCCCGGCGCTCGTTTCCCCCCTCCAGTAGTCTCGTGACCAGACGTTCGGAGCTCCAAGCGGGAACGAAAAATCGGAGGTTCCCGAGCACCTTAACGTCTGGTGGCTTCACCCCCGTGACTCCCCCATCGGTGACAGGCCGTGACGTCTCCTGCTTGCCTTCTACCGTCACTAAGCTTCCTGTCCGCCAGCGCTTATGGATCCCCGAGGCGCCGAAGAAGACATCGAGGCGCACCCCAGCGGTTGGGGAGCCCTCTTCGACGACGACGACGACGCCGACTATGCGCCATCCGACTGCGACAGCGACCGGCTCTCCGACGTCTCTGAATGGGACCCGGTCGAAGCGGCACTCGAGGATCCCGCCCCACCCATATACCTATACAACACCCAATCGATGCGCGGGCGCTTATCGCGCTCGATTTCCGTTTCCGGCCGCACCGTTGTCGACCGCGTTAAGTCCATCCTGGCCTATATGGACTCAGTCGACATGAACCTCCCCCTCTTCCTGGACGCGCTCAGCTGGGGTGACACCGCCTGCATCACTGACCCAAAGGTCCGCTATGAGCGCAGTGCCCTTGTGGGCAGCGAAGAGCTTCCCCGCATCCTTGAGCGCTGGTATAAGGTTCCCCGGGCGTCGGCTTCGCGCAGCCACCACGTCCGGCCCCAAGGGGCTCGGAAGGCTCTCGAGGAGTTCGCACTAGGCTGTGTGGAGGAGGTTCTTGATCGTGAGCTTGAAACTACCTTCCGCATGTTCCGCTCGCCTCCCGACTGCCTTTCGGAAGAAGGGCTGACCCGATTCCAGTTTGTGGAGGTTGCAGAGGCACTGCAGGACGCTATGCCTCACGGTAAGCATATTTTTAGCCTGTCAACATACCAGCAAGCTTACTTGGTCCGCTTCCAACGCGTTCAATGGAGAAATAATGAAATACATTTTCTCCGCCTCCACCAAGGCGGGCATCACAAATGGCATGGTCTTGCCACTCCCTGTTCCCGCTATTACAGTGCAATCCAACCCCACCATCAGGGCCTCAGCAACATCCACCTGCCACTCACGTGGCGCCTTCCCTCCCATTCTGTCGCGAAAGGTGTTTTCGAGCGCCTGGCGGGTCGCATGCGAGTCGTACCGCCGTGAGGCTTTTGCGGCTTGTCGCGCGGCTTGCAGGATTGCATACGAGTGGGCGTGGTCTTCTTCATGATGGGAGAGGAACTGAGGAGTTGAGATAGCCATGTAGTGTATTTAAGAGCAGCCAGGTATGATGGATTATGGGGGCATTGTGGCTAATACAGGAGGTGTAGCACAGGGTGAACATTGACAGCGGGCTGCCACATCGGGCACCAAGGGCGCACTCCGACTTTTTCGGACTGCCCCGACTGGGCGTCGGGATGTGACGCATGTCACCGATGGGGGAGTAACGGGGGTGATGCCACCAGACGTTCGAGTGTCCGGATACCTCCGATTTTTCGTATCCGCTTCACACTCCGAACGTCTGGTCACGAGACTACCCCTCCAGATCTTTTCGAGATTCGTTCCATCAATTTCGCCTTCCTGTTTTGGTCTACTCCCTCCCGAGGCTTGCGGAGCGCAGCGACGCATCGAGTGCTGGGGCAGAGAGGCTGAAGAACGTCTGGAGCCGAGACTAGGTTGCGAGGGGTTTACCCAAGTCGGAGGTGCGACCGGATCGGATCCGTATGTGGTCCCTTCGTCCTCATCCTCGCGACTTCGGAATGTCGAATTTGTGCGACATGGGCTTATGCGGTACATAGACCGTTTCATCAACACGGTAGACGGCTCCGCTCCGAATGTAGCGGGAGAAGCATGACTGACGCACTAACTTATGGTCTGCCGCATGTTCTACCTTGTGTACGCTTATGATACACACTGGGGTCCATAGACTTCGCGATCTCGGAGCCACCATTCCGCTCTTCACAGAGGGGCTTCTGAAGGCAGATCGATCAGGCAGATGCCGCGGCTTGCAGGCATGCAGACGAGCTTGTCGCGATGATGTACACATGATTACTGACAATGTTTGATGGGACCTGTCCCTGTCTGATGTCGCTGCCCCGGACGGGGAGGCGGCAGTCATGTCCGCCTCACGATTCCCCGCTGCGGAGTGGGGTCCTCACTGATCGATTCTGTTCAGAGGTTCTCGCGTCTTCCTCCCGAACGCGACCGATGGGAGCGTCGGCCGCCGTAGTTGCAAGACGGTAATTTACTGGCTGAAGAGAGCGAGTACACATGGACCTTCCGGAAAGGAGGTTGTGCCACGGGAGAGGTATGAGCAGCCGTCAGCTGACGGACGGACCGGACGGCCGGTGGCGTTCAGTACGGGCGGAACGAGCGCTTGAGACTATCACGGATCCGGAGGTGATGACCTCCCAAAGACTGTCCCTCAACCGCAAATAAGTATGACCGTCGCCCGCCCAGCATCAACTTCCCCCCTCTTCTCCCCCGAACACATCGACCACCATGACCAACCTCAAGCAGGGCGAGTTCGTCGGTTCTCTCGACTGCGGGACGACGTACGTTCACTTCTTTTCCGTCCGGCGCTCCGTGTTGATAAAAGCTCGCTAACCGGCCCTCCATATGTTCAGGTCAACCCGGTTCCTTGTCTTCGATAAGTATGCCAACATCGTCGCCCAGCACCAAATTGAGTACCCTCAGTACTACCCCGAGCCTGGGTACGTCTCCTATGCATCAATTCATACTTGTCACGTGCGAATTGACCCTATCATATCAGCTGGCACGAACAAGATCCCGATGAGCTCATCGAGAGTTGCGAGGTCTGTATCAACGAGACCTCGAAGGCTCTGGAGGCGGCGGGCTGGTCTAAGGACAGTGTGAAGGCTATCGGTACGCATCTCATATTCTTCTCACGCGAAGCCTCCAATATCTAATCGCTTCCTGTCCCTATCTCGTCACCCCTCCCACGTCGCTTCAAACTTCGTACCCTTTTATAGGTATCACTAACCAGCGCGAAAGTGCTGTTGCGTGGTCTCGTAAGACCGGAAAGCCTCTCTGCCGCCTGATCGTCTGGGACGACGCACGCACGAAGAATACCGTCGCGCACTTTGAAGTGAAACTCAAGACTGTCGGAATTGAAGTCAAACCCGGCGAGTTCAAGAAGGGCGACGAGGGTATCGACGCACTCCGTAAACTGTGAATATCTTGCAGGCGCATGTAAATGGTCGCGGCACTAGCTGATGCGCTCATTACAGTTCCGGTCTTCCAATCTCGACGTACTTCTCCGCCATCAAGCTCCGATGGATGATTGAGCACCACGAGAACGTGCGGAAGGCTCACGATGAGGACGATCTCCTCTTTGGTACCGTCGAGTCTTGGATCGTCTACGTACGTTCCTCAAGTTCGATTCGGCACGTGCATACTCAGAGCTTTCATTTGTAGCGTCTCACCGGCGGTGTCGAGAAGAATCTACATATTACGGACGTCACCAACGCGTCTCGTACTCTACTCCTGAACCTCAACACCCTCAAGTGGGATGATAGCCTGCTGAAGTTCTTCGAGATCAAGCCCTCCGTCCTTCCAAAGATAGTTTCTTCTTCTGAGGTCTACGGAGAGCTTGCGAATGGTGCCTTGAAGGGCGTTAAAATTGCCGGCATCGCTGGTGATCAACAGGCTGCACTCATCGGGAACAAGTGTCTGAAGCAGGGCGAAGCCAAGTGCACGTACGGCACCGGTGCCTTCCTCCTCTTCTGCACTGGCGACGACATCGTCCTGAGCAAGCATGGTCTTCTCTCTACGGTACGCCTTCAACCACGTCGCTTCCAAAGCACCCCACTGACTGGAGGAAACGGTTAGATCGCGTACCAAGATGGCCAGAATGGGAAGCCGGTGTACGCCCTCGAGGGTTCGATTGCTGTCGCTGGTAGCGCCATCAAGTGGCTCCGCGACTCGATGGCTCTTGTCACCAGCGCGGCTGAGGTGAACACTCTCGCCGAGTCCGTTCCCGACAGCGGAGGCGTATACTTCGTCACTGCGTTCTCTGGTCTGCTCGCGCCCTACTGGGACCCCGGAGCAGCTGGTCTCATCATTGGTGCGTGCATATAAGCTATTCATCCGCAGCTTGACTAGGCTAACCCACCTCGTAGGCCTGACGTCATACACAACCCCCGCCCACATCGCGCTCGCCACTCTGGAGGCGAACGCCTTCCAGACGCGCGCCATCCTCGAGTCGATGAAGCTCGACTCCAAGTCCGAGCTCAAGCACCTCAAGGTCGACGGCGGGATGACCAACGGCGACAAGGTCATGAAGGTCCTCGCCGACATCGGCGGCTTCACCGTCATCCGTCCCGAGATGCGCGAGAGCACCGCGCTCGGCTCCGCGCTCCTCGCCGGGTCCGCGATCCGCCTGCACGGATGGAACATCTCCGAGCCCGAGACGCTCGCGGAGGTGAACACGAAGGGGAACAAGGAGTTCACGCCGACCATGCCTGAGCCGGTGCGCGAGAAGCGCTGGGCGGGCTGGCAGCATGCCGTGGAGAGGTCGCGTGGGTGGGAGGAGGGCAAGGACGAGTGAGGTGGAGGCGGTCTATCCTTATTGCGTTTGCTCCCACTGTCATACCATATACACCGTCACGACTGTAGTAGACTCACATAGATCACGATTGCAATGACATACTTTTCTACTCTGAATAGAATCGGGAGCAGCGGTTTGGCGGGCCGACTTACCTCAGTTGCGTACGTAAGCCGTGGCTACGGTAATAGCATGATGAGTGGCCAGCTCATCCTCGCAGCGTTAACATCGTCATGACCATGACGGATCACTGCGGCGCTGCTTCCTTCGACTCGTACCCGACCTAGCAGATTCATCTTCCAGGACCACGGAAAAGGACGCGTTCTGGCTGGCAACTAAAGAATTGCCTCATTTAGACGACGTAGCTCCGGGGTTCTCAGCCGGTTAACACCCTCTTCAGACGTTCGTAGCCATGGACAACTTCCAATCACCAACCTCTGTTGGCACATATGTACAAGACAGAACATTAGAAGATATCCCTGCCATAAAGCATGCCCTTTCTTTGTTTTGTGCTTCACGTATGGTGGAGTCCGAGGAATACTGCAAAGAATCAGATCCTAATCGGTATGTGCTGCCTGCGACGTAAGGTCCCGACAAAACAATTGATCACACCGGACCTCGTGCAGCGAACACTTGTATATAACGTCTGGATACAGTCTGATCCAAGCCATTAAGGCGCTCATGTCGTTCGAAGACAAGGTGCTGTCTGCTTCGTCTAGTGTGGGGCCCGAATTCACAATGTGTAGGACCTGCAAGAGGCACTCACGCACCTTAATCGCGGCAACGAGCTCGCCGCAGCGCACCGCGCCCCGGTAACATCTTTCAGCGCGAAAGTTTCCGGGCTGATCTGGGGAGCCAAGCGGGTAGACGCTATCCGCGCCATGACAGCGGTACAGCGACATGCGGAACTGCTGTTCGCAGAGACGACGTTCGCGAAGGTACTTTCACCCTTGTCATGTTCCACCACCTTCACACAAAATCTCTACAGGCCCTCGTTGGCAGTATAGCCTCCGGCAGCTGGCTTGGCTTCGTGCGGGAGGCGTAAGTGGCTTGCATCGGACCCGGCATGCCCACTAACCACTCCCGCTCCAGCCTTAGCTTCCGCGTTATGATCAATGTCTACCTCAGCCTCGGCAAGTATCTCAAGACCGTCGACAATGAGGCGGCTGCGCAAGGCCTCGGGCAGCGGCACCCCGACATCGATGATGACTTCCGCTCCGGCGTCGAGCTCGGCGTCGGCGCATCGAACCTCATCTTGAGTCTCATGCCGAAAACGGTGCTATCTGTTGTTGAGCTGTTCGGGTATCAGGGTGATCGTAACGTGGGTCTTGAGATGCTCTACGGTGTGGGGGGCTGGGAGAAGGGCGCGGCAGAGCCGCGAATCAGTGCCGGTAGGCTCACCTCCGACGTTCGACCAACTGCAGACTAATGGTGGGGACAGACAAAGAGGGCCTCCGACGGCCACTCGCGGACATCTGTTTGCTATGCTTCCACCTCGTCTTGTCAAGCTTCGTGCATCAAGGCGTGGATATTCCCCTTGCACAGCAGATCCTTGAGTGGAATCTCAAGCGCTTCCCCGATGGCGAGTAGTCTTACTTCGAGATACTACGCCACGTCCAACCACCCCTCAGGCGTGTTCTTCCTGTTTGGCGCCGGCCGGCTCCGTCTATTGCGTTCGCAACCTGCTCAAGCCACTGCATTCTACGAGCGAGCGATGAGCATCCAGTCGCAGTATCCGAATCTACACTACATATCTTTCTGGGAGCTAGCCGTGTGCAATTTCGCCCTGTGGAACATTCCCCAGTCACTGGTGTACTGGCGGAAACTCCGTTCGGGGGCCACGTGGAGTCGCGCGTGCTATGCGTACGGTGTCGCCGCTTGTCTGCTGCAGATCGGTAGCGGGACGGGAAGTGAAGGCGAAGAAGCGAGAGAGGGGCTGAGGGAAATCCCCAAGTTGATGAACAAGATCGCCGGCAAGTCGATACCGATAGAGGTGCGCGCGCTGCCAGTCGAGCTGCTGGTCTCATCAACTGAACATGTATTCTGCACGCTTCAGAAATTCGTCGCACGGAAGGCACGTAAGTTCGAGGCGCAAGGCGGGAGGCTCGCGCTGCCTGCGCTCGAGTTCGCATACTTTTTCCTTGCGATACAGCACGCGCCGCGCGACGTCATCCTCCAGCGCATGATGCCCGAGGTCGACGCACAGCTCGCGCGCCTGCGCGAGTCGGAGCCCAACACCTACGAGGGCGGCAAAGGCTATTGGGACGACCTCTGCCTCGCGCAATTCCTCGAGGGCGTATGCATGCGCTTCGTCGCCTATCCCGTACGCCTTTCCCGCCCGTTCAATTACCTACAGAGACTGATATGGCGCAGGATCGGGACGCCGAGCTGCAGTTGAGCGATGCGGAGCTGCAAGTTGCGCACCGTGAGCGCGGGCCCGCGTCTGTACGTGCATTGCGCGCGCTTAAGGCGGTCGTCGAGAACGCGCACACCATCGAGCTGGACCACTACATCACCTATCATGCACACTACGAGCTTGGACGGCTATACGCGTGCTTCGGGAATCGTGCAAAGGCTGTCGAGCACTTGAAGCTCGTGGCGAGCGGTAAGTCGCTGGAGCCTGCAAACAAATCGCGAAAGGTGCGTCGGTCTTGTGCCAGGACGTGTTGTGCAGTGCTGAGTACCGTACTTGTCGTAGGGAAAGTACAGCATGCAGGTGAGTCGTTCGATCATACTTCAAGTGCATGCATGATATCAGATGATTTATGTTGTGTAGACGGCATTGGTCGTTCGTGCTGGAGCTTCTCTGGAGGGCTTAGGGGACCCCGATGCAAATTAGTAGAATTGGACATCGAATCTGCGTATGTCCCTTAAGACCTGCAAACGTGGTGCCAGGCTCAGCTCCCTCAGCCTGTACCAGTGGGCCTTCAGACCGCGACCTGTGGAATGCCTACAACGGGCCTCGATATCATGATTATCAATCAAGTCGGTCAGGCGGTACCTGCCTCCGATCTTGTTCTTAGCACAATGTTAAGCTCTGTATTAGACCAATTATACTGGACGCCCTCTCTGCCTTCCACTAGAGTAGCATACCGAGCACCAGCTGCCGATGAGTACTTGAGCCCGCAGATCCATCGATGTCAAGCGCTTCCTTGTCAGTGTCGTCTATGCTCAAAGGCAAAGAAAGCTGGTGCTACGAAGCGGAACCGTTGCGCCTAGGTGAATGCTGGGTCTCGCGATACGCCCTTGAGGCATAAGCAGTGCGTACAATTTTGAACCACATTAGACGCTGGAGTCCGCCTATTGTCGGAGTTTCAATGTCGACTCTCGTCCAACAACCTTCCTGTCGATGGCGCACAGTGGTCAGTACAATCTAATTACTCCATACCGTTGTACATGGCGTTGGCAGGATCTCCGAACACCTCAGAGCGCATCTTCACGGTTATCAGAGCCAGTAGAGTACCGGGATGGTGCTTCGGGCCAATACTCTACGGAATCGGTGTCATACACTCAAGACAGATACCAAGAACCATCCCCAGCCTTTCAAGCGCGGCAATCCGCTTATTGACATTGTCTTTTCCGCTGTGCTCTAGTATGTCGTCTCAAGGTCAACCGGTTCCTCCGCGACTCATAATATGATCAGTAGTCTTTGGTGTCAACGATGTCTATGATTATGAGTCTGACCTCCGCAACCCACGCAAGATTGCGTCGTCACTCGAAGGCGGCGTCCTTGCACCTGCCTTCCATGCGGACATCCTCCGCGCTGCCACCATCTCTTCACTCCTCCTCCTTCTACCGTCTCTTTTTACGCGCAATCTTCAAAATGTCGCCGCCACCTCGCTCCTCGTCGTGTTCGGTTGGCAGTACTCCGCGCCCCCGCTCCGCCTGAAGGAGGTGCCTGCAGTAGACAGCATCTCGAACGGCGTGATGGTATTCTTGTCATGGTTCGTCGGGTTCAGCGCAGCAGGGAAAGGCATCGCGGAGGCCCCGAGAAAGGGCTATATGATGAGCCTATGCACGGCAGGTGTCCATGCGCTTGCCGCGGTTGCAGACGTTGAGGCTGACCGCGCGGCGAGGATGCAAACGCTGGCAGTCGTTCTGGGTGCACGACTCGCAGCGGTATTTGCCGCATTGTGCTAGTATGTTCATTGTCCCCTATCGTGGGAAGGAATTACTGACTGAGTCCATGTAGTGTGTTAGCGGCCACGACAGTCGAAGCATACTCTCTGTTCGGGCTCTACGTCTATGGTGGAGTTGCGATCACACTTTCAGCGTGCGTAAACCCTGCGTGGGCTTATCGTGCGTTCCAGACGATCGTATACTTGACCGTAATCGGATCGCTCGCGTGGTTCATCACGCAGGCGCGGGACCTGGCAGAAAGGCGTAAACCTACGTAGGCTCAGGGGCTACGTATATGCATTGGGAATGAACACAGCATTTGTATCGTTGATGGAAAGCTCTAAGTGGGCTTATCGCGCCGTCGACTCTCCCGATTTTCCGGTCGATTGTTATGTTTGGAACCCTGAGGGACCTGAGATTGACGATACATAGACCGTTGAGCCCAGCGATGCCGACCTGGCCCAATTCGTTTTCCTCGCGTGTCTGGAATGCGGAAGGTTCCCGTGGTACAGCACGCAATTGTTCACAGCGCGCAAGATTGATTGTTCTGTGCCCAGTTAGGAAGTCTTTGTTATGGGTCTTGCCAGCTCCGACTCGGGGCGGAGACTCCTCGAGGTCTCCCGTCCTCAGTCATTCGTTTCTGTTTCTCTTTGAAGTTTTTCACTGAGCTCATGGTCTCAGATCGTTTCTCGGCCTCCTTTGCTGACAATAGATGGTCTTCGTATGATTTACATGAGGGAGTCAAGCCCAGCCAAACACTCTGATCTTGCGGGCACTCAGGTACTCAGACTGGTAGCTAACCTGCCCGTCTTCTGCCGAGGACTTCCTCCAATGCGATTATCCCTTAACGCCAATCTTTGTGTGGAACTGATTTTCACCATTTCCATTCTACTTACCAGTGTCCACCAACGGAGTCTAACGGTTCATTGTTGATATCACCTACGATCTGACGGCGGCACTAGATATTCTTCGACTGTACGGTCAACCAACCAAGACCTATAAATTTATCAGGACTATCATACGTTTCTTACGGATGGCGTTGCATAGCCAAGCGAGGCCGCGCGGAGTTCGTATTTGGGGAAGCACTGCGGTGAAGGCGCCGGCTACCCTGCCTAGACAGTGGAACTCTCCTAGGTTCTCTGATCCATGCGTTTTTCGTGCGAATAAACAAACAAGGGTTCTTGGTTGGTCGTACTGTTAGAACATGGTCCCGTACTCGTCAAAAGTCCAAGGTCCTACCCCCGCTCAATTCCTGAACCATCGTCAACCGTCAACCACCGCCTACCGTATATAACCCAACTTCTCGGCAACACTCGTCGACTCGCTTGCAGCTCTCCCCTCAATAGCCATGGTTTCAAAGAAGTCCCGCAAAGTCAAGGCCTACGGTGAGAAGGGAGCAATCCTCGATGACTTCCGGCAAAAACACAGGCCACCTACCAGTCTTCGCCAAGCCATTGGGGACGACAATGAGGTGAAGAAAGCCGTGTCCTTGGGGAACCCACGCAGCTTCTAATTGGTTTGCAGGTCATGAATGTTTGCCCGGTATACGGGCTGCCCTTCTCGCACGAGCCGCCTCAAGCCCTCTCGGAGAAAGCAAAGGAGGCGTACAAGCGGCGGAAGGAGCGAGAAAGGAAGCTGAAGATTGCTCAGGCAGAAGGCCTTCCCAATGACGTTGGTAGCGATGGGGAGAGTGGTCGGTGGGTATACTGGAGCCAGGACGAACAGGAGAGACGGTCAGACGAGGTACGATACGTTGATCCTGTCCGATGGATATACTTACCTGACAAGAACCCGGGACAATTGGCACAATTCGTCGAATGGCTTCAAGACACCGCCTCCTCTCACTCCGGTCCATACTACCCAATATGCAAGCCACGCGCCGTCTCCGGGCCCAGCTTCGACCGTAATGCCTGTTCACCATCTGGATGCCCGTGTGTCTACCACCCTCGAGCTCACCGAGCCCTGCCCCGAGTGGCGTACCCGAGGCTTGACACCCGATGATCACCACTGTCGTCCAATATACGCGTCATCCGCCACAGTGCCACAGCACGCTCAACAGAACGTCTGTGCAGAGGCACGTACCGTATCATCCTCCATATACGCCACCGCTGTTGCACCATGCTACAACCGAGGGTCACAGTATGTGGCGGGAGATTCGTTCGTCAGATGCTCTCCGATGGCAGCGTCTTCTTTGGAGGCGGAAAGCGGCTGCCTTTCGTCTGCATTCCTGGCATCACCTGAGACGTGGTCAGCAACATACTCTGGCTTTGAAACTACGTCGCTGCCTCTGCCAACCACCTCTCTGCTCCATTCCGACCCATCGGCCGCCTCCTACGCTCCAAAAGAGATGAACTGCTGCGGATCGTTTTACCATCACCCTCAGCATCATCCCTATCCGATGACTGCCCCGTCGATTGCAGGTCCAACACCAGACGTATACCATTTGACGGCGCCACGAGAAATACAACCTTATCCTGCACCTCAACTACGGGCACGTGAGGTTCTGCTTCCAGCACTCGCCGACTTGTCCTTGAGTGCGATTGCTCCTGGTGTTGGCGTACAGCCAAGGCTTCCTGGCACGTCTATGGTGCCAGAGACCGAGCACCGGCATCTACACGACCGACCTGCTTCCTGGACGGACTGGGAGACTGCAGAACAATACGACAGTGATGCGCGATCGGGTCAGATCGAGAGGACGGTGCATGAGACACGCACTCACGACCAAGGGATCAGCGTCCAGCGAGCTCCGATCACGCTGCAGTTGCCGCGCGATATGTACTACGCGCAACCACCCAGTGATCGCCGGTCCTCGGGAACATACTCATATGAACCATCGCAGCCCACTCGCCATCCCATAGCCGGCTCTCCAACGTCCCTGGAGATGGGCCATGCTTCCATGGCATCGCGGCCCATGTTCTCGGAGCCCGTTAATGCAAGCTCCCGGTTCGCGATAGGCCTGTACGGTACCCTCTATGACCCGCCTGTCATTCCGCAGCCACCATCCCCCGGCATTGTAAGCAACGTGGGTCACTCGAGTATGAGCACTCACCTCTCGTCTCAGGGATCATTTGCCCAGCCACCAGGGCCACGCGACTATGGCCTTCAGCCCTTCATGTCTTCTTCTTTCGAGCCTGCCCAAAGCCGGCTACCAACTCGTATGGACATTCAACGCTGTGCGACTAGCCGTGGCCAAAGAATGACGTGAGGCTCATGCAACATCCACGTATCCCTCTTTGGAAACCGCTTTCTGTGTCTCTATTGAACAAAATAGACCATCTCGTTTCGGCCATAACTCATAGAGCGGGGGCTTTCTTCTCCTCCAGAAGCAGAAGGCTTGCAAAAGGGAACGCGCCAAGGATGATACGTACTCAAGCAGCCCGATGCTAGCACTCTGCTATGGGCTGGGGAATCCAAAGGCCGAATTACCCAATTCATAGCACAGTTCGGAGACCATTGGTGGGTACTAAGAGTAGCATTGAACGCGATTCTGTTCCACAGCGATATCTATACATAAGTTAGGCCTGGTCCTCAAAGGCAATGAAAAGCGTCGAGATGATGCATGTCTACTTACCCTGGATACCAGTAGATTTAGATAAGTCCCTCCACGTCCAATTATGGCGACATATCGACTGCGATCTTCGTGGTCGCGGGTCTTCAGAGGAAACCTGGCGACACAGGTAGTGCAGAGGGGCTGAACTGGTTGTTAAGGATCGGTACTATGAGATCGCTGTGGCTTCGTTCAGCAAGCCTTGATGTGGAGTCTGGACTTATCTCAGATCAACGCTCGGCGCCTGGCCAGGACCACTCAAACTTACTTCTCGGTGTCAATTCTCCAGGAGCTTGATAGGCCACGTGGATTCAGCGCTCTCGTAATTGGCTCAGGAGTGGCCACGGGCTTGACCCTCAGCCTTCAACGTACCTCAAAGCTAGTCCCATTGTGCATCGCGGCAGGAGCAGTAGGCCGTGGACTGAAGATTCAGCGATTACGTATCAGATACGTTTGTCCCTCATCCGAATCACCCACATGCTGAGGAACTTCTCCATAGATGGTTCCGTGCCTACCCGGCGAGATCACCGACCACATCATAGCCATGGTGAGAGGGCCTTATCCTCCGTTTTCTCGTCTACCGGGGGTGGCTTCCTGCCAGCAGACACCAACGACTTCTTCTACTTACCAACTCGACGTGAACGCAGCTTTATACGATATCTTGGTTGAACGGATGATCCGCTCGATCAGTGGGTTAGATTCGAACGCGGGGCGATAGAAAGCTGGGGAGATAATAGTCAACGCAGGACTGGTAGTGGAGGACGATCAAATATATACCAGTCCTGCGTTGACTATTATCTCCCCAGCTTTCTATCGCCCCGCGTTCGAATCTAACCCACTGATCGGGTGGCTTTTGAGCTCATCTTTTTCGTCAGCTTCGATCATTCACCTTGTCCGACGCAAAAGTGATCGTGTGGGGTAACGCACGTATCACGGCACTGTGCCATTGGTTCTTATAATCCTTAACTACCCACCTTTCACACCTTTCTATCGTCGTTCTCACGGAGGCGGAGGGTGAGTACTTGTCTATGATGCACAAGTCCTGGCTCACCTCGCTTCCGCTGCAGATCCAGGACGTGTGTTTCATCTATCGCACCTCACTGACTTCGATTACTTGGAGATATGGAATGACTTTGATCAGGGTGGAGACATTCACAATTCATCCGTTAGTAAAGTCTTCTCCAGGTCCTCTGCGACGTCTTCGTTTCTTACTCAGGCGTGACCGCTTCCATGGCATGCCTGGAGAACGCCTGGCTGCCGTCGGTGTCCAGGGGTTGGAGTCCCTTGGGTCAGCGGGAACACGTTCAGCAGTCTCGAGCTAGCTCACTCCAAGGTAGACAATCGTTTCCGTATCCCATTCGATGACTTCACTGTCCCACTCTACTCGACCGATCAATTCGCAAGGATGGTCGAGTTGGAGCTGTCGACCGTATGTGTTTGGGCATAGTGGAAGTCTCGCAAAAGGCCACCCCCTTCCCGGCTGCAAGCTTCCGAAGGTCATTCCCTCTGCTGCATCAATTCCGCTGGCCCACTGGCAAAGGCCGGAACTCAAGGCCAGTGCGCAATTGACTTCGAGTCCCTTGCAATTCCAAGGATTGCGTTTCTGACCATTGCGCTAATGTCTCTTCTGCCATATATCGCATCCGACGTGAGGCTGGAACACCATGAGCATAATATCATCGCACCTTCGCGGACGGCCGCGCATCACTTAGCATGACATACGACCATTGTGTATGCTGCTCTACGGCAGAGCGAGCGGAAAGGACGAGGCTTTGGGAAGACCTTCATTTATCACTGAAGGGACAGACGGTCGTAAATATACGCATACAGCTGATACAGCCCCCACGCTATCAGGAGGGCATGCGAAGCGCTTTGTATATTTGCATGCCTATGGACTGTACCCGGACGTCGTAGCGCGACGGTTACATGCACGCTATTTACTGTAGTCATAAGGCACCGGGTGTTGATGGACGCCGTAGTATGGCCCCCGCCAGTACGGTCGTAGGTCTAATACTCCCGAAGTACCTGAATGCGCCAGTCGTGGCTTACGCGACACACGGCGGCTTTCTGACAGCCCAAGACTGGTAAACGCGGACCTCGTATCTCGCTCAATATGGGTAAGTGGGGCTTTGAAGGGAAAACTGCCTCGCACGATCAGTCGCACTCTTGCATGTCATTCCCAGGCCATAATGTGCGCCGTGATGCGCCTGGACGCTGCGCAGGAATGTAGCAGACAAGGACCTGAGATGGATGCTGCGGCCAGGAGAGGCGCTGGGCGGCTATGGCGTCCAGAGGCGAAACGCGTGAGAGCGGCCTACTGAGTTTGGGCAATTGTCCGATCCATGGCCGACGGACCGCGCGAGCCAGTGCAGCGACGGACAAAACCGCGGTTGCCTGTAAGCAGACTTGATCTCGCTCTGTCATCTGTACCTCGACCGCCGACGTATACCCTTTCCAGCGCAGGCGCTCCTCCATCTTCGTCTTTTATTTAATACTAGCCCACCCTCTCTCACGATGCCGCCCCCGAGGACACCAATTACCCCAGTTATGGCCGGCATCAACGCCGCCCTCAATATGTTTCGCACCCCTCAGACCCCAGCATCGGGCAAGGTCGAGCTACCATTAGGAGAGGATGAACCGCTTGTCGGAGGAGATGGCCTCGCGTCGGAAAAGTGCGAGCTCAGGATAGAGGGTATGACTTGCGGCTCATGTGTAGAGGTACGTCCGGGCCTGTCCTATCTCACCTGCAGAACATGCTTTCTGAAGCTAGTATTCGTTAGTCAATAGAGGGCATGCTTCGAACGCAGCCCGGAATCCACTCCGTCAAGGTTGCTCTACTTGCAGAACGGGGAGTCGTCGAGTATGACCCCAATGTATGGGATGCAGACAAGATCGTCAGTGTGAGTGCTCCTCTCTTTCTTCCCCTCGACAATATTTCGGTTCCGATTCCTCCACCTGCGTTCTCTCAGTTGTCCATCCCAGCGTATGTTCTGCATCGCCCGCACTGAATCTTGTTAGTCACCTTGTGGCGCGTGCGGTGTATGCTATCTGGGCGTCCCGCCCGCGAGCCCATGTTCGGACCAGCCCCCAGAGGATATGTCTCGTCTCCCCCTTGCGACGCTGCGGGTCGTCTACTTCTCTCGCCACGTTTCACCTTGAGCCAATTGCGCCCGCTAATATGCCTCATCACTCCGTAATCTTCCTTTTTGGAACGGTCACGGGGCACGTGTTGCGCGCGAATATCGGCCTGGCGGAGTTGAGAGTATGCGGCCAGCGGATTTGAGGACGTGTATCAACCATGGTGACTTCTCGTCGACCATAGAAACCCGCCGCCGTTGGCAGGCGTTCATTGGTTCAACGTGAGCTTGCCGGAGAGAACGCTATCCTTAGCCCCTGCTCAGAATGTTCCTTCGGCGTTCACATGACAATCGCTTGCGTGGTCGAATCTGGTAGGGTTCGGTAGGCTGGAGAGCTACGCAGGTGAATCCACACAAGAGGGGAGTTGGGCGTCCCACTTCCATTGAAATGTTTGAAATCCACGGATAGTTTACGGACATCTGAATAAATGTACTGATGAAGCTTCAGGAAATTTCCGATATTGGTTTCGATGCAACTCTCATTCCCCCAACACGGTCGGATACCATCCAACTGCGGATATACGGCATGACTTGCTCGTCATGTACGTCCACCGTGGAGAAGGAATTGGGCGCTGTCCCCGGAGTTTCTAGCGTTTCCGTCTCGTTGGCTACAGAGCTCTGTCAGGTAACCTTTGACAGGACAATGGTCGGACCGCGAGAGCTTGTAGAGCGGATAGAAGAGATGGGATTCGACGCCATGGTGTCGGATCAGGAGGACTCGACACAGCTACAATCGCTCGCCCGTACGAAGGAGATCCAGGAGTGGTGGTCTCGATTCAAGTGGAGTCTCATTTTCGCCATCCCCGTCTTCTTCATCACCATGGTTGCCCCGAAGATATCTTTCCTTGCCTCTATTGTCGAATACCAGATTATCAGAGGCATCTACGTCGGAGACGTCCTCGCGCTGGCGCTTGCTACCCCGGCGATGTTCTGGGTCGGGCAGCGATTCTTCAGGAACGCCTACAAGTCGCTCAAGCACGGCAGCGCGACCATGGACGTGCTCATCTGCCTCGGCTCCTCTGCAGCATACTTATATTCCATCGCCGCGATGTGTCTTATGGCCGCTAGCAGCGACCTCGGCTATCACCCCATGGTCTTTTTCGATACGAGCACGATGCTGATCATGTTCGTCTCCCTCGGCCGATACCTCGAGAACCGGGCGAAAGGCAAGACAAGCGCTGCCCTCACGGATCTAATGGCCCTCGCGCCCTCTATGGCTACGATCTACACCGATCCTGCGACATGTACGCAGGAGAAGAAGATCCCGACGGAGCTCCTCCAGGTCGGGGACATCGTCAAACTCGTGCCCGGCGAGAAGATCCCGGCGGACGGCACCGTCCTGCGCGGCACGTCCAACGTCGACGAGAGCGCCGTCACGGGCGAGCCCATGCCAGTGCTGAAGCAGGTCGGGGACGCCGTCATCGGAGGGACGCTGAACGGGCTCGGCACATTCGACATGACCGTTACGCGCGCGGGCAAGGACACTGCGCTCGCGCAGATCGTGAAGCTCGTCGAGGAGGCGCAGACGTCCAAGGCGCCCATCCAGGCGTTCACAGACAAAGTCGCGGGGTACTTTGTGCCGACCGTCATCAGCCTCTCGCTGCTCACGTTCGTGGTGTGGCTAATCGTCTCGCACGCCGTGAGCGACAGTGCGCTGCCCCCGCTGTTCCATGTGCACGGGGCGTCGAAGCTCGCGGTGTGTCTCCAGCTGTGCATCTCGGTCGTCGTTGTGGCCTGCCCGTGTGCGCTGGGCCTGAGCACGCCAACGGCGATCATGGTTGGGACGGGTATGGGTGCCAAGAACGGGATCTTGATCAAGGGCGGACGCGCGCTTGAGGCAAGTCGCTTCATCAAGCGTATTTGCCTGGACAAGACCGGGACTGTCACCGAGGGTAAGCTCACCGTCTCGTCCATCGCCTGGGCTCCGTCGAGCGACCACAGCGATCTCCACCCTGCGCCCGACTCCGACGACTCGTCGCTTACGACGAAGGTTCTCGGCAATGTTTCTCGCACAGATGTCATCGCCATGGTCTCCGCGACTGAGGCGCGCTCCGAACACCCCCTCGCGAAGGCGGTTGCGACGTACGGCAAGGACCTTTTGAGCAAGTCTATAGTCGCCGTTCCCGAGGTCACCATTAACACGTTCGAGAGCATCACCGGCGCGGGTGTCAAGGCGGTCATCACCCTCCCTGCCGGCAATGGCAAGCACACCATCTACATCGGCAACGCGCGCTTCGTTCTCCAGTCCGACAGCGCGAGTCTCCCAACCGCCCTCGCCGCGTTCGACGCGGAGGAGTCGAGCCAGGGCCGGACGTCGATCTTCGTCTCGCTCGCCGCGGCGGGGAAAGTGCCCACCCCGATCCTTGCGATCGCCCTCTCGGACAAGCCGCGGCCGTCGTCCGTGCATGCGATTCGCGCGCTGCAGGACATGGGCATCGAGGTGAACATGATGACAGGCGACGCGAAGACGACCGCGCTTGCGGTCGCGAAGCAGGTCGGCATCAAGCCGGAGCACGTATGGGCGCATATGAGTCCCAAGGGCAAGGCATCGGTCGTGACGGAGCTCATAGAGAAGCACGGTGGCGGTGTTGCAATGGTGCGTCTCTGCCCCTCTCACTAATCACACGTCGGGTGCGCACTTTGCTGACACGCGACTTGCCGCTTAGGTCGGCGACGGTATCAACGACTCACCCTCGCTCGTCGCTGCGTCTGTTGGTATCGCGCTCTCGTCCGGTACCTCCGTCGCGATTGAGGCGGCCGATATCGTGCTCATGCGCTCGGACCTGCTCGACGTCGTCGCTGCGCTCCACCTTTCACGCGCGATCTTCGGCACGATCCGCCGTAACCTCGTCTGGGCATGTCTCTATAACGTGCTCGGCATCCCGCTCGCCATGGGCCTCTTCCTCCCTTGGGGCTTCCACATGCCCCCCATGACTGCCGCTGCGGCGATGGCGTTCTCGTCTGTGAGCGTTGTGACGAGCTCGTTGCTACTCAGGTGGTGGACGCGCCCCGCGTCCAGCTTGATGCCGGGTGAGGTCATCCAGCAGGAGACGATATTCGATAGTGCGAAGATTGCGCTTGGAGACGCGTGGGAGAGCGTGAGGAGTTTGGTGCGTGGCAACCGGGATGTGTCGGGTTACAGCCAGCTTCCTGTGGAGATGAGTGAGAATGTATAGACGAGAGGTGGTACGGTTTTGGGGAGACGTGGTGATACTCTGGACTGCTCTCCAGTGTTTTCCGGCTTTGTTGTTCGTTGCTCGCTCACTCAGTACTTTCGTTCAGCCCCTTGTCGTGTTCATTTTGCGTAACCTAATGCTCTCGAGGCCCTTGTACTATTTGTGTAATTCTACTACTCAACTTGCGGTATCCAGAATGCTTCAAAACTCGCTAGTCACTAAGGATATCGATCAACCGTTCATGTCGTTGTCCTCCTTCATGATCAACGCAACACATAATCTGTTTTATTAACCAGCATCTAGTATGTTGTGCTGGTACGTATGTTCTACCGATGCAACAGACGAGCAGCAAGCCTCGATGTATACTGCACATAGAATGAGTCGCCCAGCTCCAACGGCGCAGCCCACATCGGTCGGCGAGAGCGAGGTACAGCGCTAGCCATCGGGTCGTTTTCGCTCTTCATCCCAATTCAGCCTCGTCGCTGTGGAGGATGACGATGTTGCGGTGATGATACATTGCTGTTATACTGTGTATCGAATGACTTTTCCTAGCTTACAGTGCAACGGCCCTCTTAGCACGTATCAATAACTCAGTCCACAATGACCGGCCACCCAGATGAGAAGTCGACATAGTTGATGCCGAGGTACGACGGCCCGCCAAAAGCGTCGTTGGGCACGTAGTGATACGCAATGACGTCCCGTCCACTGACGGGGTCGAAGAACAGGCTTTGGCCACCCGGCGCGTAGACGTTGTCGTGCGAGCCGAGCACGAGCGTGCCCGACGGCGGGTCCAGGTCGAGCGTGATGTCGTTGCCCGACTGGTCGACGAATGGGCCCGAGGGACTGCTGCCCCGTCCGACGAGCACCTTGTACTCCTGGCCCGCCGGCGGGTGGTCCGTGTCCTGCGTGTGACAGTGATGGTGCACTGGTTAGCACAGAGGCTGATGGTAGCAGGGGTGGAAGGAACCTACGCCAATGAAGGGAGTGATGCCGTCTGAGAAGAACTCGAAATAATATGGGGAGCTCGCAGGCTTGTACGTGAAACTTCCCTCGGCGCGACGGCCGTTATAGCCGGCGAGGTGAGTGCCGGGAAGACCTTCGGCGCTGCTGGTGATACTGTTGAGCGGCATTTGGAAGACGCCGTCCCAATAGGAGCCGAATCCGAGCTTCAGCTGGCCGTTCTCGACAAACAGATTGGGGTCAACTGGACGCATGAACATGGATGTCAGATCCCGGAATGCCCTGAGCGGTCGGGGTGGAGAAGACTGACTGGCGTTATAGTTATCGCCGTCGGCGGAGGTGACGACTGCGCCAAGGTCGGTCCACGTTCCCGGTTCCATATACGGGCTCGTCGCAACACCGATGGCGGAGTCCTGACTTCCAACCGTCGAGACCGAGTAGTACAGAACGTACTGCCCGTCGACGAAGTTGATGTCGGGCGCCCACAGGTCGCAATTGCCTGAAAGATTGATGGTCGAGCAGTTGGGCAATACGGATCCAACACTCGTCCATGGCCCGAGCTCGGCAAGCGCTAGGCATTGCCACATGTCATCGAATCTCACTGCCACAGGCTCGTCTTCGTCTTACACTCGTCACTGAGAAGCCAATGGGTTAGCATCTACAGGTTAGCATCTCTTGGTCCTGCTTCTTCTCTGCTTCTGTCCTCAGGCATGACTACCCCGGATTCCCAATCTTTGACCGCCGTTCTGCCTCAAGCGACGTCTTCGCGAGGACAAGGCAACTCTTATATACCAGCTAAGATCTCTCGAACCCAGGCTGTTTATGGGCACCGCCTTGGAATCGAGATGCCGTCTGACTCTATATGCAGCACAACGATAATTTGAGTAGCATTCCAGGTGCGATGCATGTGCTATGGGTTGGGTAATTCGGCTCAAATTGCCTGGCCCATAGCAGATTGTTCGCTACCGGTTTCTCGAGACGATGTCATCCTCACCAACGTCGTTTATGAAGCCTTCGAGTTAGGGCAATACCCCCTACCCCAATGCATGCACGTAGAAACATGGTAACCATCTGTGTCCGAGCTTCATATAGTCAAAGTGTCTCCGAACAGCGACACGGAGATTTCACGTCGTGCCGTGGCTGTAGCTTGCCGCGTAGCATCGATCATTGATATGGGTTGGGATTTGGCTCAAGCCCGGCTTGAGAGAGGAGATGATTGTCGTGGGGAAATAGGGGCAGAGTAGGCCCTCTCTGACGCGGGAGGTGAGTCCTCGGACCCAGGGGACCCTTGTTGCTGATCACGCCGACGGCCGGCGCTATCGCAGACGATTCGTTCAGTGCGTCGTACAAGCTGCTGCTGGAGTAGGAGCTTGTGTTGGCGGCCGTCGCGCACAAAGGCCGCGATCTTGCAGAAGAGTTGCCAACCTCCAGCGATGGACCGGAGGTGGCCATGAGATGGTGAGTAGGCTGCGGTGATTGGTACGGACGTGTTCCCAAGCTCCAGTCCTGACTGGGCGGGTACCCACAGAGGGTGTGGGGGTTCTGTAGCGCGCCTCGATATCGTTGGACCTCGTCGTTCTGGTCATATGTGTACGGCCTACGCACCGTTGGTGCCATCTGACCCCACCGCTCATCGTTACTGTATCGGTCTCTAGCCTCTGGCACCATCGACGAAGCAGATTCGTTGTACGGGAGCCAGCATGCGGTCCCTGACGCTACAGACATTTCACGAGACCTTGTCTGTATGCTGATGCCCGGAGCAACTGCGTTCGAGGAGGTGTCGGTGTGTGTTAATAAATCAGCCTCGTGTGCCCCATGATGAGGTCCAGGGAAACGGTGTATCTCCCGCGGCGTCGGCAGATAGTGTCCATGCGGAGTCAAGCCTGCATTGAACGGGGCACTCGCGGGATATGGCAGACGCGGGAGTTCTACCGGAGACATGCTATAGTGGATCATGTCCGTTGGAGAGTAGCAGGAGGTCGACACGTCAGAGTCGAGCTGAGGCGCGGTGCGCAAGGGTAGCTGCTTGGTTCCCGGGCCAGTGTCTACGGACCAGCACGTCCCCGCTTGAGGCATGGAGGCAAATGAGAGGCCGTTCTTGTCCGCCTCCAAGGATGATACTGTTTCAGGAGGGCATCTCATGGACCAGTTGCTCGCCGCATACATCGACTCTTCGTCGAAGCATGAAACGACGGCGGTTGTGTATGTGATGGACGAAGCAGCGCGTGCCTCCGCATAGGCTCCGTGCTGAGTGTACTGCTGAGCTGCATCGGGTGGCGCGTATGTTGGACAACGGCGGTTACCGTCGGGAGTCACGCTTTGGGTTTCCCAGCCGGGAAGGGGCTCGAGGGCGGCGGCATCCTGACGTTTTGCAGGCAGTAAAGAGGAAGCTGAGGCTGTAAAATGCGCATCATATGCATCTTGGGTTGCACCTGACAGCCTGGGCAGAGGAGACTGTGGCATGGTGCCATTGGGTGAAGGCTGCGCGTTCGCCGGAGTCCTTGTCAGCATAGTATCCGCATTGGACAGGACAGACGCCTCGTACCTCATCTGACCTTCTCTCCTGTTCTTCCTGACTCCAGTATACCCGCCCACTACCGTCCTCAACGCCGCCACCTCTATTGAAGAGGCTTTCTGCCTGTGCCATCTTCAGCTTCCGTTCTCGCTCCTTGCACTGTTAGTACGCCTCCTTTGCTTTATCTGAGAGGGCTTGAGGCGGCCCGTGCGAAAAGGGAAGCCCGTATACCGGGCAAACATTCATGACCTGCAGACCAATGCTAAGCTTGCGTGGCTGCCCAGGGACACGGCCTTCTTTACCTCCTCGTCGTCCCCGAATACTTGGCGAAGTTTGGAAGGCGGCCTGTGTTTCTGCCGGAAGTCATCGAGGTATGCTCCCTTCTCACCGTAGACTTTGACTTTGCCGGACTTCTTGATGACCATGGCTATTGAGGAGAGAGCTGCAGGCGAGTAGAAGAGTGCCGCCGCGAAGTTAAGCTGTGGAGGTCGGCGGTGGTTGGTGGTTGGCGGTGGTTGAGGAATCGGGCGGGGGTAGGGCCTTGGACTTTCAACGAGTACGTGAACGTCAGTTCTGACGATCGAGAACCCTTTTTTTCAATCATCCGCACGGAAAACGCGTGGATCAGAGAGCCTAGGAGGGTTCCAGTGTCTAGGAAGAGTAGCGGGCGCCGTCACCGCAGTGCTCCCCGAAATACGAACTCCGCGTGGCGTAGAATCTCCCCTGGCTATGCAATGTCATCCTTAGGGAACGCTCGAAGGTCCTGATAAGTTTGCCGTACAGTGGAAACAGTATCCAAGGCCATCCTCAGACAGTAGGCAATATAATGAACATGCTCTGTACCGTTAGAGGTTGGTGGACACTGGCATGTAGAACGGAAATGATTTCGTGCTTAGGCCAGAAATTTGTTCTCACACAGAGATTGACGTTGAGGGGCAATCGCATGGGAGGAAGTCCTCTGCAGAGGACGGGCAGGTGAGCTATCAGACTGGCGCCGGAAAATCAGACTGTTTGGCTGGGGGCCTGACCCCCATATAAAACATACAAAGACGGTTTCTTGTCAGTGAAGGAGGCTGAGGCACGCATCTAGTACTACCAGCTATTTGGAGAGCCTCTGAGAGAACTCAGAACGGATAACTGAGGACCGAAGTGCCAGAGATAGAGGATATCGAGGAGTCTTCGCCGGAGCTTCTCAACAAAGACTTCCTAACTGGGAACAGAACAATCATTTTGGCGCGGATGGTGCTCGTAAAACTTGAGTGTACAGACTCTCTGCATTGCATTCATGGGAGGAGATTATACCAAGTCAGGTTGGAACTACTGGGCTCAATGGTGGGTCTCTGATACATTACCGAGCAAATGTCTCGCAGTCGACCGCAGGCAAAGAAAAATGATCAGACGCACGTAAGGCGCTACCAGGGATCGAACCTGGGTCTTGGGAACACTCATCAGAATCCCAAGTGATAACCACTACACTATAGCGCCATGCTTCCTATCGTCTGAGTTCAAATCAAGAAGGTCAATTGACAGACCGAGACGTATGGATGAGGGGCTACTAGGTATACAAAAGTTGCTTGAGCTACATCTTCTTCTCAACCTCGCGCTGTATCGCCAACGCCAAAGCACTGGTGGGACAACAGAGGTATGCAAAGCGTGCAGACAGATACGTGGGAGTGCCAAAACATTATATGCTACAAGTGAGAAAGCGTGTATCACCCCGCATTCCTATCTATGGGGTACGGGATTCAGGGCGAGGCATAGGAGGGAGGGCCTGAAGATCAATAGTCAGTATATGCGCGCCGTACACATCGCGTAAATACTCACCAGGAGAGCGGTTCGAGTTCTGCAGTGCTTGAATGAGAGCCAACTTCTCTTCGTCACCGAGGTTATCAATGAGACGGATGAGGCCATCAACGGTAGCTTTCTTGTCCTCGTTGGCCAGCTCTAGCATCCGACGGGCTAGGTGGTCAGCCTTCAACCGCGTGAGCGTGTTCAACAAATCGAGCTTCTCCAGAGCTTCCGCGATCTTGCGAGGGTCGCTTTCGTTCTCAATGCCAGCGAGCGACTCAAGCAAGTGCTCGCGATAGTCATAAGTCGACTCGGGACTTGCCTCAGCGAGCTGCTCCAGAGCCGCCGAGCGGGCAACCTTGGCACGGACAGCCCAGTAGAACCGCCTACGCGCGTCCTTCCAGGTCATCGACTTCGCACAGCCCTTTGCTTCCATGCGACCGGTCCGGCTGGGAGATAGTCATGAGCTTCTAAGGGGCTTCGGGCATACAGGGGAAAGAAACTTACTCGTGGAGATCGGCGTACAACAACGCGATCTGCTTGTACGTGGGCTGCAGGAGCGTCTCACGCTTAGCAAGGGCATCCGTCGCAGCCGCTCGATCTTCGGGGGTCTTCGACGGATCGGTACTGTCCTTCTTGAGGTTCGCATACGTAGCATCAAGACGCTCCATGAGCTTGAGGATCTTGTCACGACGCATCTTAATTTCGACCACACCCTCAGGCTCGAGGACACCGGCACGAGCCTCAACGTCTGCGTACATGTCCATCTGGGCTGAGTTGATCGACGGATCGAGCACGACCCATGCGCCACCACGGAGCTCGCCATGCGGAACTATGTAGACGAAGACCGGCTGCTTGTAGCTGGAGAGACCGTCCACAATCTTCGAGCCTTGCTTGAGGATCTCGTCATACATATCCTGTTGACCACCGGAGAACCCACGCCAGTTGGCGAAGATGATCAGTGGAAGTCCCTCGCGGTTGAAGTCGAAGATCGCCTGGGCAGTCTTATACGCGGAGTTAGGGTACCACACCTGACCGGCCTCCATGATACGTTGCTCGAACGACGCTGGGTTGGCAGGGTCGGCGGGGACGATGCGCTCAATGGTCCTGGTCTCGACAGCGATCACGCCCATGGGTATGCCACCTAGACGCGCACGACCGACGACGACAGTCTGAGCCCATCCGCTAAGAGTCTCCTGGAAGGAGTCACGGTCGAAGAAGCCGGAGAGCCAAGTGTTGGTGGACTCGTCCTGCTTGCCTGCAATGAACCAGCGCGGATCGTAGGGGCCTTTGGGAGGGATATAATTGATGTCGCGGTCCCAATTGTCAGCGGACTCGAGCACAGATAGGGGAGCGCCCTTGTACTCGGGGACGTAGGACAGCCATTCGAGGATGTGCGTAGCGCCCTCCAAGTCGCTGTTAGCAGTCAAGTGCGAGACGCCATTCTTGTGCATGATTTGAGTTCCACCGAGCTGGAGGTTGGAGGTGTACACCTCGCGACCAAGCACCTTGTTGAGAGCAGGCGCACCAGTGAGGATGATGGGCTGGCCCTCGACCTGGACAGCACGCTGACCAAGACGAACAAGGTAAGCACCGATGCCGACAGAGCGAGCGGTAACAAGGGTAATGGTGAAGATATCGTCATAGGCGCGAGAAGTCTCGCCAGCAATGAGCCCGGAACCCTTCAGACATTCAACGCCGAGACCGTCCTGCAGGCCGATGATGTCGGTTATCTTGTGGCGGCACTCGCCGCTCTCCTCGATCTCGACAGTGCGGATCGCAGCAGCAGTCTTCTCTCCAAGCTTTAGGAAGTTCTCGTGAGTCAGGTAGAGGTACTCGATGCCCTTCTCGGGATGCTCGGGGTCGCTCCAAGCAACGGAGAACAGGTTCATAACCTCCTCGGCGAGACCAATACGAGCACCGGAGTTGGCCGAGAGATAGATGCGAGGCAATCCATGCTCACGGGCATATTGCGAGCAAAGGAAGAAGAATTGGTCCTCTGCTGGCCCGAATGAACCGATCTTGAACGTGATGTCGTTGGCAATGACAACGGCGCGACGACCGTCCGGGTACTCGGGAGTACGGAGGGTGAAGACCCAACCGACCATACCGACGGTGTTATTACCGGGCGCCCTGTCAACCTCCTGAAGCTGTTCGTGCTCGTCGAGGATGAGCTCCTTCGACTCGAAGATCTTCTTGGGCAGACTGAGGCTAGGGCTCGTCACGCGAGCCTTTGCCCACACGTTGCTGAGAGCCTTGGAGAAGAGGTCGGGGAAGTCGTAGACGTAGGTGGTACCGACGAGATGAGCCTGGTAACGCTTCGGTTGCAGGGACTCCTTGGTGGGATACGCCTGGTGAACTGGCTGCAAGTGGAGGGGGCCCTTCTCGCCGATCGACTTCAGGATGGTAGTCCCCTTATCGGTGGTGATCTCCTGATAGCCGTGGTAGTTGACGATGAAACCAGAGACGTTCTCGATGATACAGCGAATCGGGGTAACGTTACCGTCCTGATCCTCGAGAACAATGCGGATCTCGGAGCCAGTGACATGAAGGCGCCAGAGCCTCTTGCCGTGACGCTCAATGAAACCCGAAATAGCCTCCAGGACGTCCTCATACGTGACGGAGAGGTTGTAGATGAAGTTCATGAAGATGTGGTTGCAGTCAGTGTTGCGGTGCTGCACCGACACGACTTCGAGGGCATCGAGGATGCTGGTGACCAGGCGATCGGTCTCGGAGATGAGGTATTGGGCGGTGTTCATGCTGCCGCGAATACGGCCGGGACGCACCAAGGCACGGATGAAGAAGCGGCTGTCGAGCTGGTTTTCGCGAGCAACGCCATGGTAGATGTGCAGCTGCTTGTTGTCCGTGAAGCAGGGAGTGAGGTTGTAGTTCGACAAGCGACTGAGCTCAAGCTGGAACGCAAGGGCTGGCTCGATGTGACGAATAGCCTGCTCTTCCTTCCAAGCCCCATCCATCTCGCGAAGCGTGTAGTAGATAGGATACTGACCAGGGCGACAGATGAGGATTGAGATACGACGGACGCCCCGCTTGGTGAGGACATCGCGATGGCTGTTGACGAGCTCCTCGATCTTCTCATACCAGGCATCTTCGGACATGTCGTCGGCCTCGTTGAAGACACGCAGCGCCATGTTCAGGACGTTCGGAGGTTGATTGTTAGCACCATAGCGCAGCTGATATTCCCGAGGATCGAAGTTAGGAAGAACGGAAGCGACCTTGTCAAAGCCGCGCTTGAGAGCGGCCAGATTCGGGAAGGATGCGATGGCACCATTGCGGAGAGGCTGCTTCTGGTGTGCGTTGATCATGTACGTCAAGTCGCTCACGGAGGCCTGCCTGCGAGGAGGATCACTGTAGAACAATAACTCGTTATCGTACGGTTATGTAGATGCAAGACAGTCATCACTTACTCTCGTCCGAGGCGAGGCGTCGAAGGAGGCGAGTTGGACTGGCCGAGGTTGAAACGCCAGGTGACTATACTCGGCGCCTCACCGTCATCCATGCCATCGCCCTCCTCGTAATCGACTGACAGAAGGGTGTATGCCTTGTACGCACGCCTGACATAGACCTCAAGTGAGGCTGTATCGCGAGTCAGAAAAGTCAGCTTCGCAACAATAAAGCACACGTACCATGAATGATTTCCTGCTCGCTGTAGTTCCAGAACGTAGGAAGCACGTCGTACACGGTGTATCTCGAATCGATGAGCTCCCGCAAGACTTCCATCGACGGAGTTCTAGGGTTGTCGTCTATGGTCAAATTATGCGCTCTAGTGGGTCATAGAAGACATCGCACGTACCGAACAACAGAACCGGGCTCGCCATAGTAGCTGTTGGTAACCGAGGACTTAAGGATGGCCTCCATCTGAGCCCGGCGCTCCTCGTATGAGGGCATCTGGCATGCGATGAGGACCTCGCGCGCCTTTAGCGAGACCTGGGTGGAGGACCTAGAAGGTCAAGTGAGCACAAGTAATGTGCTAGACAACAGATCAAGAAAGTCGCACCTGGCCTCGAGTGCAGCCAGACCCTGCAGGACCTGGTACAGGCGACTGTTGGGGTCGGTCACAGTCAAGCCACTGTTCTTGACATGATCGAGGATAGCTATGACTAAGCGACCCTTCCTCTGCGCCATGATGTGGCTGAGGACGAGAGCCGCGACCTTGTCAAGGTTGTCCTTGTTCTGCTCACGGAGGGTCAAGACACGCGCTTCGATGCTGCCACCGAAGAGCTTCTCAGTCTCTTCATAACGAGCAAGCAGGCCCGCAATAACATTTGTCTCGTGACCCTTCAGACCGAACTGGTAGCGCTCGACGGCGTCGAGGAGCACGGCGAGCTGAGTGCGGAACATTGCACGGTCCTGAGCACGGACGTTGTCCTCCATGTAGTGGTCCACGAGCTTCTTGATGCGATTGGTCGGGAACTCGATGCTTTCGCCCTTACTCTTGGCGGTATCGAAGGCAGCGCGGATACCTTCCTCAAGCTTCGCAGGCATACGGCCAGAGAGTGTGGATAGGATAGCGGTACCTTCCGAAAAAGGAAGTTCGGGATTGTGCAGGATATCGATGAGATCCTTGAGCGTCGACGCCATAACAGCCTGGTTGTCATACCCGTCAAGGATGTTGTTGAGGACGTCGAGGTAGTGGTACATGCGCTGGTGGGGCTTGTTGCCGACGACGGCCGGAGTGCCCAGGTCGGGAAGCAGACCCTCGAAGGGCTTAGCATGCTTGACGCGGGCGGGATCATCGAGGGTGAGGATACCAAGAATGTCACCGGGCTCGAGGCTGACGCCCGGCTGCTTCACGAATTGTACAATACCGTCTTCAGCAGCGACGAGAGGCATGTACATCTTCATGACCTGGGACGCATGACTATCTCAATATAAGGCCACCGACATGAACGCCACACGAACATACCTCGATCTCGGCGTACTGCTCGCCAGCATTGATGTGGTCACCGCTCTCCACAAGGAACCGGACAAGCTTGCCCGGACTGGGGCTCCGGAGCTGCGTCGGGTCATTCTCCTGCTCGATCAAGCACGTCTTCGAGTCGATCATCAGACGCAGCGCGCCCACTTCCTCTCTCCAGTAGACAGAATGGCTCTTGCCGTCAAGCAGAACCAACAGGCCGCCATCAGCCAATCCACGCGCGCCCACCAGCGTCCGTCCGCCGTTGAGGTACAGCGTCCAGAGCGTCGGAGAAGACCGCGTAGCAGTGAAGGAGTAGCGGACGTTGTCGTAGATGAAATCGATGCCGAAGACGGTCTTGAGGACATCGCGGGAGGGTACCTGACCCTTGTCGAGGATGCGTTTGTACTCGCCCCAAGACGCTTCTGCAGCCAAGAAGGCTTTGGTTACAGCACCGCAGATGACAGCAAGCGTAGAGTCGGGACGCTCAGCAGTAAGCTTGTCGCTGATAAGGGAGTCGAGCCAGCCGGTAGTTATAGTGTTCTCCTGGAAGGCCTGAAGCTCCAAGAGTTTGATGAGGTACTCGACGGTCGTGCGGAAGTCTCCCCGGATACTGAGCTCCTTCAATGCAACAACCATGTTCTTGCGAGATTCGGCACGATCCTCCCCGTACGCGAAAACATGACCAAATTGCGAGTCTGCGAACTCGTGCAGCCCCCCAGCGCTAGCGACCGAGAAGTATCCCCAGACGTTGGTACTCGAGCGGAAATTGAGCTCCTGCAATACACCAGACGATGGCTTGAAGCCCGCATCGGGGTTCTCGGCCGTGATGCGCACGGCAATGACATGGCCCTTGGGACGAGGTTTGCGCTGCAACGTACTGGCCTCGGGGTCAACCATGTCAAAGTCGATCTCTGAGGTGCCGCTGTGCTCGACGCCGTACAGCTGACGGATGTGGCGGATGCGGTGGAGAGGGATACCCATAGCAACCTGAAGTTGAGCGGCGGGAAGGTTGACACCAGAGACCATCTCGGTCGTCGGGTGCTCGACCTGAAGACGGGGGTTGAGTTCAAGGAAATGGAATACATCCTCTGCGTGGCTATATAGGTCTGTTCGGAATGAGTGCCCAACTCCGGACGAGAAGGAGATGAGGGGAACACGCACACTCGACCGTGCCAGCGCTGACATATCCGACAAGCTTCGCCAACCGGACTGCGGCGCGCTCCATCTTCTCGAATGTCTTCGGTTCTGCAATGGTGACGGGTGCCTCTTCGATGATCTTCTGGTGTCGACGCTGCACCGAGCAGTCACGACCGAAAAGAGAAATTGCATTGCCATACTGATCAGCAAGGAGCTGCACCTCCAAATGACGTGCCTGGCCCGCGAGTTTCATGATGAAGATGGGAGAGCCTAGAGCAAAGTGAGCGCAAGCGGACGACAAAGCGCAGGCCAGTCTTACCGGGAATCTCTCCAGCGACAGCGTGAAAGGCATTCTTGAATGCGTCTGCGCTCTCGACCTTGCGGATACCCTTCCCTCCTCCACCTTCGGAGGCCTTGATCATGACTGGGAAGCCGATCTCCTCAGCCTTTGCCAGACCCTCCTCGACCGTCGTAACACACGCTGCCCGGTACACATCGTCAGGAACGGTAACGAAACCGGCCTCCGAAAGTGTAGTCTCCGTAATTCCAGTGCCGGACCAGGGCATAGTCGGGACGTTCGCGCTCTGCGCCACGATCGTACTCGAAATCTTGTCGCCGAGACTGCGCATCGCGCTTCCCGGGGGACCAATGAACACGATTTTGTTGGCAGCAAGAGTTTCCGGCAGACGAGGGTTCTCCGAGGCGTGACCCCACCCCGCCCAGACGGCATGAACACCAGCACGCTCCGCGACATCGACGATGAGGTCCACATTCGCGTAGTTGTTATTGTTGGTCCCTCCCGGCACCTCGACATACCGGTCAGCCATGCGAATGTACTCGGCGTTGACCTTCATATCCTCCGGTGTAGCCATGACAGTGAACTCGACGGCCCGCTCGGTACCAAATGTCTCGTAACTCCATTGTCGGATGGAACGAATCTCCTTCACGGCAGCAATACCTGCAAACCTACTCAGTCAATACAAGCACACCATACTACCTGAGAACCCGGCGACAGACCGTTATTGGCAATGAGAACCTATGAGCAGAAACGATGAGCATCTCGTAGGTTTGTCATGGGTAACAATGAGCACATCTCGAACACATATAGCACGTGTACTCCGTCCTCATGTGCGGACGCGTGTTTTGCAAGGCAGCGCGGTGACGAAAAATCGATCGAGGCGTGCATATAGCCGATGCATGTATTCGACACGCGTATGCCAGGCGCATCGACGTGCGCGCAGGACATCTCAGCGTGCGGCGAGAGAATGCTGGGGTTGGGGAAAGAGCCGGGCCATTCGCAGTCGAGGGAGCGGTGGGACGCGTCGAGACGTGACACGTGCGACGCGTCTAGCGTCCTCTGTTACATCCCTCCGTGTACCCAATCCCTCCCTCCGCCAGCCACAGGCCCCATATTTCCACACAGACATAGTGTGAAAGTATACAGATCCGCGACCTACCTTGGTGATGACCGTGTGTCCTCCGTGCTGTTTGACAAAGTCCTTGACTGGCCCGGACGGAGCCTTTTCGAGGGTGTTACCGCCTGTGATTGCTAGGCATTATGCTCTGTTCTGCCGCGGAGAGCGCAACAACGCACCGATGAATTGAGCGACTCGTGAATGATCGTACTTGGACATTACTGAAGGAGAGAGGAAGGGGAGGATTGCAACAGGGCAAAGGTGGAGGAGGAAGAGGCCGAGGCAAAGCAATTTAAGGCTGCAAGAAGAGCCCGGACAGCTTGCATCCCCAACACATTGGTACGATTACGTAACGGAGCTCTGGGGACATTGGTATTGGGTGTCGCCGTGAATCCCACCCGATCGGTGCCCTCGTTGCCCGATTCGTGTCCGTACCCCAAGCCGAGAGTGAAGTCGCTCTCACAGCGTTCGAGGAGCCCATACCCAAAAGTGCTAGTGAGTGGCCAGGTCCCGAGCTGCATGCGCGTTGACGTCTCCTTGCCAAACAGAGATACTCGCAAGGAGCACGTTCCTACCCTTACGTCTGCCTGCGATTGAGGATTGCACGCAGAAGAGCAGAGATGTGCAAGGGTGGGTCTGGGTCTGACGTTGTTACGAGGCTGCCCCGCTTCGAGGACGACACGGCATTGCCAGGTTCTACGTAAGAAACCAGAAGCCAGAACGGACGAGTCACACATAGATGAAAATTACAATGCAAGTGTGCATGCGATCATGGGGCATGTCATAGTATTGGCAATACATGAGCGTGTAACAGCGATACCAGCGACAAAACGGGAACAGGGAGAGTACTTAGATGTTGGAGGGGTAAAGCATCTGTTGCACCATAGCCATAGGAACGCCGTGAGCACATGCGGACGTGTAGGAGGATCGCGAGACGTACCACCCGGACGCTCGCGCCAAACGCGTGTGGGGGCAAGTTCGAGGAGAACTTCCCTTTTACGACACCAGAGTTGCCGTGCGGGCGGGTAACGCGGCTACATTGTCATGATCTCAGTCAGGACCTAGGACGTCTTTCGACTGGTAGAGCGGTCTACGCACCCCCAGATCACGCGAACCTTCGAGCCCTGGATCGCACGCTTTGCGCGGTAAACGTATGCGACGCGCTGCAGGACTCATACGTTCATTGACACAATCACACGGATACCACGAATTCGACATACCTTGCCAAGGTAGAACTGCGCATCCTCCTTCGTGGCGACACCCTCAATCTGGAGGAGGGAAGTGTTGGGGCGGGTGTTGCGCTTGGCGCGCTTGTGGCCGAGGACGCGGCCCTTGGTGTACAGTCTACAGCATCAAAGACCGACGTAAGCCGAAGTTCTACAGAGACCACAGCCAGATATGCAGAGGAGAGCAGAGGTAGAGCTTCGTCAAGGTGCCGAGGGTTTCGGTGTATCCAAGTCGAGCGCCGACATCCAATCCTTCCCAACGCCATCCATCCCGTCCCACTCGTCCTCCGACCTCCCAAGTGTCCCACAGCTCTCCATTGCACCACCTGCAGCACAGGAGCATAATCTCACCTTGTGGATCCCATCGTTTTGTCGGTCGGCCGGTGTCGGGGTTGTCGTGGACTTGCTGGCTATCGAGCACTGAAGTTTGCCAGGCTCGCTCTCGGCGCTCTCTTCGGCAACTCCCGACTCACCAAATCTGGCAAGGCCGAGGTTTCCCCTTGTTAGCGCCCAAACGCGCGTCCAACAAGCAAAAACCCTCGCCCACCGGCTTGTCCCTCTTCCTCGACCATCGACGCAGCGACCAGCGCTGCACTCTGTCGTCGGCCATCTGTCGACTCGACGCACGAGTAACGGAGCGGTGGAAGAACGACGTCCGCCCCGCGAGTGGTGGACATCCTCGGGACGCGCCCCGCTATCCTCCTTGTAGGTAGCCAGTCGCATTCTTGCTCGCTCAGTGTACTTCTCGTCCGAGCTCGACCCGCAGGGAATATACGCATACGCTTTCGTTCGTCGCATATCATCTTCGCGTAGCCCGCCCAGCCGCGGATCCTGGACCGTGCTGCTATAAGTACTTGCAGAGCTCAAGCTTGCTGCTTCTTGTGACTCGACCGACGCGCTAGCAGTACATAGTGCCAGCAAGCAGCTCAGTTGACAGTAGGTCCTGCTCTCGACGTCCACCATGGTGCTCACGATGCGCGGCTTTCCTCCCGTGCTGGTCTTCAGGCGGTTCTCGTCCTCGTCCCCGACCACTACCATCGTCACAAAAGCCATCCCGTCCAAAAGCCACCTCCACTCTCCCATCCCCGACTCCGCCTTCCCCAAGGGCTACACCCTAACCGGCCTCCACTGCGGCGTCAAGAAGAAGTCCGGAGTGCTCGACCTCGGCGTCATCCTCTCCACGTCCCCCCGCCCGACCAGCGCAGGAGCGTGCTTCACGCGCAACGCCTTCAAGGCCGCCCCCGTCCTCGTCTCCCAGGATGTCCTCGCACGCACCGGGGGCCGCGCGCGCGCGATCGTCGTGAACAGCGGCTGTGCGAATGCCGTCACTGGCAAGCAGGGCATGGAGGACGCGTGGTCGATGGTGCGCGCGACCGATGTTCTCCTCCCCTCCCAATCCCAAGCCCCGAGGGAAAGCGAGACGCTCGTCATGTCCACGGGCGTCATCGGGCAGAACCTGCCCATCGCGAAGATCCTCGAGGGCATCCGCTCGCAGGGCCCGTCTGGGACACGCACGTTGGGCTCGACCTTCGAGGCGTGGGAGCGTGCGGCGCGCGCGTTCATGACGACGGACACGTTCCCGAAGCTGCGCGCGCGGACGTTCGCGGTGCGCGGGAAGGAGTTCCGGCTCGCGGGCATGGATAAGGGCGCGGGCATGATCCACCCCGACATGGGGCCCCCGAGCGGACAGCTGCACGCGACGCTGCTCGGGTGCATCCTCACCGACGCGGCCGTCTCGCCGCGCAGTCTGCAGTCGGCGCTCACGTATGCGGTCGACCGCAGCTTCAACTCGATCAGCGTGGACGGGGACATGTCGACGAACGACACCATCGTCGTCTTGGCCAACGGCGCGGCGACGGCCGCGGAGGAGCCTGAGATCGACGAGGCGACGGACCCGGAGGCGTATGAGGTGTTCAAGCAGGAGCTCACCTCCTTCGCTGCGGACCTTGCGCAGCTTGTTGTCCGTGACGGCGAGGGTGCGACGAAGTTCGTGACGGTCACCGTCGAGGGCGCGCCGACATACAAGGATGCGCACGCGGTCGCGTCGCGGATTTCGACCTCTGCACTCGTGAAGACGGCTCTGTTTGGGGAGGATGCGAAGTGGGCTCACCCTTGCTGTTCAGAAGCGGAGACTTACTGACGTTCGTCCTCCGTAGCTGGGGGCGCGTCCTCGCTGCCACGGGCTCTGTCGCCTTGTCTCAGCCCATCGACCCTACCCGAGTGAACGTCTCTTTCGTTCCTTCCGACGGGACCGCCCCTCTGCCTCTGCTGGTGAATGGCGAACCCGAGAAGGTTGATGAGGCCCGTGCTTCCGAGATCATTGGTCAGGAGGACCTCGAGATCAAGGTTGAGCTTGGCCTGGGCTCTGAGAGCGCGAAGTATTGGACGTGTGACTTCAGCTACGTAAGTGCCAATCATCCTTTTGCCTTGTATGCCGCGGCTCATTCTTCTTGGCAGGAATATGTGAGGATCAACGGCGACTACCGGACGTAGAATCGGGGCTCGTTCGTTGTACAAAAGCCTGCCAGGCAGTAGATCCTGCGTTAGGAGTATCCCAATGAAGAGTGCCTTGGCTGTCTCAGGGCGGCCGGCGTTCCAAGTAGACTGAGATGATAATCAAGGCGAAAATCCTAGCTTCTCGCACCGTTAAGTCCTCGCGATCTGCGAACCTGATGGTGGGTTAGGCCGCGCCCGCAAGTTCTGTCGGCCGGCTTCCTTGCTTCACGTAACATAAGTTCCGTAGACCTCGACTGCCGGCACAGAGCACATGCACTCGCGCGAGACGGCAGGCCGCAGGTGGCGCTGAATGCTGCTGGGGAGCTATTCCTGGACGCGCTATTTGGACGTGTTGACGCGTCTCGGCTCAGGAAGAGGGTTCCCAATCCGGCAGCGAGTCCCAGGCACGATCGCATGCGCCGAATCCAGTCCCCATATTACACCACGTCAGTTGCTGCTGCGCCCAAATAGCCTGTCCCTTCCCTCGAGCCCTTCCCAGCTCCTTGCCCGACTCCCGTGTGCTCGTACATCTCTCTTTGTCTCCTGGTATCACGTCCGAGTGCTCCCCATGGGTTCCGCGCAGAGCTACCTCCCCGTCGTAGGCGTCATCGTCGCCGGAGCCGCGGCGTACGGCTACGCACAGCTCAACAAGACGCCGACTCCCGTCTCCCAGGCCGCACCCTCGCCCTCCGCCCCCGTCTCCTCGAAGAAACAAAAGCAGAAGAAGAAGGCTGCAGGAACGGGCGCAGGCGCACCGACCAGTGACAGGGAGAAGGAGAAGGACGCCGTCCCCGCGGAGCCCAGCGTCGTCTCCTTCCCCCCGGTCATCCCTGGGGGCTTCGACGCCCCGGCCTCGTCAGAGCCCCAGGCGGAGCGCTCCAAGCCGAAGAAGAAGAAGAAGGCCAAGAAGGCGGGCACGCCCGTCCCCGCCGACGCGCAGTCCGAGTCGTCCGCGACCGCGCCCGAGTCATCGGTGGCTGCGCGCACGTCCAAGCCGAAGAAGGAGAAGGGCGGCGCAAGTAGGCCTGCGGCAGGGCTCAACGATGACGGCTGGACGAAGGTCGAGACGAAGAAGAAGGAGAAGCCGGCGAAGGCTGCGGGCGACGCGGCCGCCGCTGCGGCAGAGGGGGGCGTGCAGGGCGGCCATCGGCTGGAGGTGTCGACGAGCGACTTCGCCACGTCGGTCACCACTGGGAACTCGTCGCCCGTCACGGAGAGGACAGAGGACGAGAGCCAGCTGGCGGACTCGTTCACGTCTGAGCACCGTAGGCCGCTGGCGGAGAGGTTGTTGCCTAAGCCCAGGAAGACGGGTGTCGAGGAGTACGTCGCATGATTCGTCTGAACTGGCTCGTGTGTTCACATGCGCTGTTGCAGCTTGCTGGAAGAGCCCGACCATCCCGAGGTCTCTCGTGTCATGCGTGTCAAGCCCAGACCAGACGAGCGGCCAGCAGCAGGGTTCTCGTGGGCCGACTACGAGGACGTCGACTCGCGCGGAACTGCAGACGACGCAGACGGCGAGGACGACGGAGGATGGGGAGTCGTGAAAACCCGGACCAAGCAAAGTGAGTAGCCTCCCTTCCCCTCTGTCCTTTTCTATATCCTCCGTCTCGGCTCCGCCGACCATGACACAATCTCAACTCCCCATCTGCCAATACCTCACAGAAACGAACAAACCCGCCTCCGAGTCGGGCCCAGCGGCACAGTTGAAGGCATCCGAGTCGCTCACGAAGAAACAGCGCCAGCACGCCGCGAAGCGCGAGGCCGAAAAGGCGGCCAAGGCCGAGGCTGAGCGGGAGCGACTCGCAACGCTCGCGCGGCACAAGCGCGAGCTCGAGCAGACCCGCATGGCAGAGCAAGCCAAGGCGAGTAAGAAAGCCGTGAGCGGTGGCATGTCCGCGACCGTCGACGAGAACGGGAAGCTCGTCTGGCAATAATCGGCTCAAGGGTATAAGGGACGGGAAAGTCACAGTGAACAGAGAGCAGAAGGTGGAGCGAGTCTGCTTCCCTCGCTCCTAGAGGCTCGCGGGGGATTTTCATTGCACTCCATCAACTTATGGCGCATATACCATCGTTCGTTTACACGTCTAGTAATTTTCTTTGGGACTTTCAGAGTGGAAGAAGTCTATTCAGCTGTATCTAGTATACCGGTTTTGCTAATGTGGAGGTACGGTCGCGTTGCGTCGCACCGGCTAAGATACGCATGAAACGGAGCGACGCGGGAACCGGACAACCACACATGGAACCGCACACTCGTCATCTCCGCTGCGAATTCGCAACAGTCTGCAGCACCCTCTGAAGACCCTCCCCGACCAGACCGGCGACGCCCGTCGTGAGCGTGCTCACCCCCGCGACGCTCCTCGCGATGCTCTCAACAGCATCCGCAGCGAAGTTCGCCCCGATCTGCCGTCCCGACGGTCGCGTGCGCGAGCTCCGGCTTCCCGCGTTCAGCATGATAGCCGCCTTGACGGAGTCGAGCTCGTTCAGGACCTCCACGCCGACGGAGCGGGCCCATACGACGGGCTCCGAGGTGGAGGAGTAGAGCTTGTGCAGCTTGTCGCATGCGGACATGATCTTGTGGTTCTCGAAGTAGCGTTCCCGAGCGTACCGGAGGAGCGCGGTACGCGAACCTGAACAAATCGCTCCTTCAGTCTGTGACGGGTGCGAGGGAGCAGTAGGGCGCACTCACCTATGTCACCGCCATTCGTGACTGCCTTGTGGATGCAGTTGAAGAGCGACTCGACATCCCCGAGACCCATATTCAAGCCTTGTCCGGCTAGCGGGTGGATTGTGTGCGCAGCATCCCCAACGAGGACGGTGCGCGCACCCGCGCCATCCCCGATGTAGTCGTCCGCATGGCTGAATCTCAGCGGGAAAAAAGCAGCGCTCCCCGGCTGTATCGATGTCACAACAGGCGGAAGAGCATCGGCGTCCTCCGGAGGGACACCTTCAGTGTCCGCGGTCAGGGAGTACGCCGAGCGCGGGTCAATGTGATGTGAGCGCCCGCGCCAAGAGATCTCCTCGCGCAGCTGCTGGGAGCTGATAAGGGCGCCATTGCTGACAGAGTCCAAGATCTGCTGGTGCAGGTATCTCAAAGAGACTTCCGGTAGACGGAAGGCAGCGTTGATCATGCTAGTCAGGACGGCAGGGTCGGAGGAGAGCAGGGCCTTAGCTAGGTGAGGCTTCGTGGACCAGACAAGAGATGATGCTGTCGGCGAGAGAGGCAAGAAAGCGATGGGTCCAGTGGGAAGGAAACGTTGATACGCTATCGTGTTCTGTGCCTGGAAGGATGTTCGGGGTTTATGGAAGAGGGTGGCGACAATAGCTGTGGTGTTGTATGCCCACCCGTAGGATTCGATGCCAGCATATGCGCGCACCGGGGAGTTGAAGCCATCTGCACCGACCTGCCATACGATCAGAGATATAAGAGGAGGGCCAGGTACTCAACGTACCAACAGCCTTGCACGCAGGACCCGACCATCCGAGAGGTGAACTAAAGGCCAACCGCCGCCTTCACGTTCTTCGCGCACTATCGACTGCACCTTCACATTGTCCACCAACTCGACTGTTCGATTGCTGTCCAAGTGCCTCAAGAGCGCTCGTTGGAGGTTGAGGTTCTCCGTGAGCCTCGCCATCTGGGACTGCGGGGATGCGTCGGGCAAGAACGACGCATGGTCATCTTGAGTAGAGAACGTAATTCGTGCGTCCGAAACACCGTCCCAAACCTAGCTCAACAGATGTCACATTGACCGCGCCCCAAACAAGACCAGTCATCGGGAAGGGAACTCACCTGCATTTCTTCGATCGGACATGTCCGCCCCTCGTCCACATGCGCCCATACGCCGATCTCTTGGTCCAACATTGAACGACGTACACAAGCTCACACAACTGGGCCCGCACACCTTGAAGGAACGCCTGCGACGCGTTCGTGATCGAGCTGACCCGGTTCGAGAACGTGCTTGGGCCATCGTTCCAGTTGCGGACCTTGCTCAAGTCACTGGCCTCAACGAGCACGACTCGGAGCGTGTCTCGTATCGCGGGTTGGGAACCTGCTTATAGTATGAGTGGCGGCGAATGCTCTACGCAAGCGATGGCACATACTGAGCGCGCTTGCAAGGGCCAACCCCGCAGGGCCTCCGCCGACAATGACGATGTCACTCTGTTGGGGCACTGATGTAGCCATGGCTCGCAGTGCCCCTCGCCGGAGTCGTGTAATGCGCCCAGGCACATTCCTAGTTTTCGCACAGGTTCGGAACATGACGAGAAGAGGTGTGCATGGGCCGAAGGGAATGTGCGTTTGGCGCTGGACGCGAAATGAAGTTCATGGGCGTCTATGGTCCGCCTTCGCGTCGGAGTCTGCTGAAACCATTCCCGCCGCATGGGCCATGGCGGCGCGGCGGCACTAGTCCTGCCACCAGCTCATCCCTTTCCTGACCGTCGGGCAGCTTGCAAACCTGTGAGACGAAGGATGACGTACACAATGCAGCCATCATGACTTCCCACCTGTTCGCACAGTCCTCGCAGTCGTACAGGGCCTTACCACGTCGCCTGACCGGGGACAGCGGCGGCCGTTTCTGAGTCGTCCGAGGAGGAGCATCGCTGTGACCTCGGTCATTGTTGTGAGTAATATTCCGATCCCGGAAATCCATATGCTGCTACCCTTTATGCCCTTGAGGCGATATGTAACCCTAGATCCCTACCAAGTCCACGCAATCCCACGACCGCTCTAGCGAACCGAACGCTATCAATCATACCACCGCCTCGAGCTCGAAGGCCAATCCGTTTGTGATGCATCTTGACAGCGTGTACGATCACGAACAATCCCCGGACATATTCAGTCTGCTTCCCGACAGTGACACTCAGCGTGAATCGTTCTTCGAAGGCTCGTCGAATGAGTGTCGCAGGCGCTTCTGCATTACGATGCTACATAGCTTTCCTTTGGGTTTCCCGACATCTCAGGAAGCCTTAGTGAGTACTCCTTCGACATAATCTCATGTATGACTTCTCTCGTTCACATGTAATCAATCGCGTCTGCTCTTGGTGTCATGTCGTGGCCTCCGTCCTTGCCTGTCTGCAGTGATATCAAGAGATTATCAGGTCCACCTCTGCATCACGAAGGCCTCACACGGCAGCTCAACGACAGATCTGTTCTGCCCGGCGCCCCTTGTTCAGGTTCACTCATTAGACCATTGGCTCAATGACTTCAAGCGGAAACGGGCTCAAGCGGAGCATTTGTTTTATGTTCCGGCTTATGGCCCTGTGTGGCGACGATGTACGGTCATATCGTCTTTGGAACACGCACACACGCGGCGGTCTCTCTCAGTGGCCCCTACGAGCTCGCTTGCCATGCCGTCTTGGGAACAAACACAAGGTTGTCCGAGCCATGGTCCAGTGCAGCTGGAAGCTCACCCGATCAACAGCTCGTCACGAGCGTGTCAGCACGTACAGGCTTTGCACGCCACTCCCCGGACGTCCTTTAACGCATGCCCTCCGGCTGCAGCTCCTCGCCAAACGGGCGGTTTATTGTGGGGGGGGGGGTCACCGTCACGGACCGGTGTATTAGGAATGGAAGCTGCGGCACCTTTAGTACGAGCGCACGCGACGCGATTTGACTAAGGGCCTGTTCGGCAAAGAGTTGGAGTTAGAGTTACCGGCATTTCATGCCCAAATATAGTAATAATATCTCGGTTTTCAATCTCGAGAAAACTCGAGTTACTCGGGCGAGTGCATGCGTTCGGATGCCTCCCAGTAACTCCGGGCGGTTGTTATCAGCTCAGGTCATAAATTATCTCGAGGCTCTACCCTTTTGGCAGCCTGCTTGATTCTCTCTCTATAGAGAATTGGGATGGCTACCATGACCGGCGTAGATTGTGATCAGACGTCCGAGACCATCCTCCTTGAGGGATTAGGGCAGGCTACTACCAAGGCCCGCCCAGTCAAAACAATGACAGTTACTGCTATAATAGCCTGTCTTCGGCGCTCTATTTGAGCCTGATGGATAGCTTGGTGAATTTAGACAGCTGCTCTTGTGTGGACCATGGTGAAGCAGGGATGAAGCAGAGCCCATCTGATAAGCCATAGCTATTGGTGTACTAGATACATGTACCAGTTCAGGGCGCTTGTCTCCTCCGGACTTCACGGGTACTCCGCCCCTGTAACTCTAACTCGCGCAGAAATCCTCGGAAATGCCGCCACGTGACAAAATGCCGGTGACTCGTAACTCCAACTCTTTGCCGAACAGGCCCTAATACATCCCGACGGTCCTGTCCCTTTAGCAATCCCAGGGAGGAACAGGGGCGGGATCGCAGAATGGCGCCGACATTGGGATTGCGAAACCAAAATACATGAGCCAGCCCGGCGTGCATACCGCGAATCTCGATTCCTACGCTCTCAGCTCCTAGGCACCCTACTACAGTATTGCAAGTGCTCGGGGCGACCACGCTTCTTCGTGTGCTTCTGCTTCCCGCGCTCGGGCCGTAGTAGAGGCACCCAAACACCAGATCTCACAACGCCGGCTCAAGGTCTTGCGCTCAGCCTTCCAATGCAGGTACCATAAGGAATTGCGCTGTCCTCCCCTCCGGCTCCTCGCAAGCCTCCGACGAACAAACGAAGGCGCGGTAAGAGCTTCGCCGACGGGCGCGATGCCGACTGTGGTAACTCAGCGGCGGTCCCGCGAAAGAGGGAAATTTACGCGGCGCTGGGGATCGGAGACGGTCTGGTGCGTCTCACAATAAGGACCCACTTTGGGACAGCCCTGGATTCCGATTTGAAGACGGGCGTAGCGCGGGCGTGGCAACCGAATTTGTCGGGCAGGGTTCGACCGCTACTTAGCGCGTCGAGCACTGCGTCCGTTGCAATGAGGCCCGGAGCTAAGCCCACGCCCTATTCTCCGGAAATTGGGGGGCGCCCATTCGCAGTGATGCCGAATCCCCCCCCCCATCTTTTCTTCGCAGCCTAGTATGAACTCGGTTGAGGTCTAAGTCACAATAAATAATATAGACACCCGTGCTTGAAACCTTCCACACGTATTAGAAGCTTGCGCTTGGTGCCATGACCATCGCATGAAATGTCATATGGCTATGTCACACTGGCGTTGCGAGATGCTGGCTTCAAAACTAGCTACAAGCTTGTGACAAGTCTGGCCGCCAAAATCAGTCGGGCGTCCTCACAAGAGCGTCTATCAAGGTAACCTCCCAAATTTGGCGTACGTTGTTGACGGCGTATCTCCAATGTCGTTGAGAGTCCTCCACGATCTCCACCGCCATGAGCTCGTCTTGACAACCCATCTCTTAGGTATGCAGACTACAGCGGCGTATCCTCACGGTTTTGGTCTGTTGTCGACTAGACATGGAGTCAGGCTTACTAGAACCCCAGCCAAAAAAACAACGTCACCAGGGCCTACGAAGGTCCTTTGTCTAGGCGGTCTCACGTTGTTGTAATGCTGCCTGGATACTTTCATCGCCTGGTATTATGTGTATACCTGTGATGGTGGGAGCTTGTGCCGCACCTGTCGGACTTGTCACGGAGCGACGTTCGCGATGGCGGCCCCGTCGTACCCATAATTCTGGGTGGCAATGCCTGTCGACCCTGACCCTTGGGGATGTGACGAAGTTTGTTTGTACCAACAACAGTGAGTGATTCATCAACTTTTTCTTCTCGAGAGGGCACATCCAGGCGTGCTTCCGTGGTCCGCCGACATCGCCTCGTGCCTGTCGTGGCTCTACGCATGCTATCAAGTGCGTCTCGAGGGCGTCCGCCCCCTAAACGTTACTGCGCATCGAGAACGGCCGCAATAAGTAGCCGTACTTACGTTTTGCAGACGCATCCCGCGTCTGCCACTGTTCGCTCAGGCCTTCGTGGATTGACACGCTGTGCTGAGACTTATTTGCTTTCCTGTCATAGCATACGCGCACCGCGATGATCATCGTATGGAATTCTGTAGTATGGAGAACTGTGCCGTACGAGCTACGCGTACTGCACGGACCACACCAGCTCCGGAGGATTTCTGACGCGGCGCTGTCGACTAATGTGTCCTCCCGATCCGCCGCGTCATCTACCACAGCAGCCGGTTAATGGGAGCTCAGTCTGTCCTGCGCTTTGGCCCATGCGCCATGATAGCTATATGAGCACGGGCGCAGGTGCTATGAGAGGCCACGGACTTTGTCCTAGCCTCTCTACCTTATACTCGATTAGGCCTTCCGACCTTGTCTTGACTCTTGTTACGCGGTCCTCTGATTACGAGCGATGGGGAAGAAGAACGACAAGGGAAAAGGCAAGAAGAAGGGGTCGCCAAGGGAGCAGACCCCGACCGAGGAGAAGAAGACAAAGAAGCGACAGCGTACGAATGGGTCGTCGTCGAGGCCTCCAGCGGATGTGCTCAAGGTGGTACCTAGGAAGATGGTGGGCGTCGTGTGGACTATTGTGTTGCAGTCACTATGGAGCTGATGCATCTTCCCCCAGCTGTTTTGGCTTGGCCGACCTTTTGGAAGATTCCCGGCACTCCCAGAGACAGCGCCCGCAACTTTGCCACCAACTCAGCTCAATTCAACGAGCGAAATGGTGCAACAGGATATGGTACCGGATGCTGGCCCTTGGAGTACACAACAGGAGGTAGCGGATCTGGTGAGTATTTTCTTGTGCCGTTGCACCATATTCTTACTGTCTCCGAAAACCCGCAGGCTTTCACACGTGCCGAGAGGTATGATGACCGCGGTGGCGCGCAAGAAGGAAGTGCAAGTTTCCGACGGACCACTGCTGTGCAGCTTCATCAGACGCCAAGATCCCCTTACAACGAACATCTCGGAGCAACAAACCCCCTTCAAGATGATTCCCAGTATCCCCCGACCGACCCCAACCTCTATCTCCCCATCGCATCCCTCTCCGGTCCCCTTCCAGGGCGAGCTCGCCAGCCCGCGCGTTATTCACCGCAGTCTCGCTACGAACCATACCCTCGTTCATCTCCTCGATGGTCGATACAGCAACTGTACAACGTATACCCCGAGCTAGGAGGTAGCCCGTCCGGAGGTGCCGCACACCAAAGATGTCGCGGCGACTAGGCGCGTAGACTCGGGTCGACGTTCGGCGACGACCCCGTAGGCGAGCGGCAAGGAGCCGAAAGGGGAAAGAGAGAGGGAGAGGGATAAACGTGACAGAAAACTCGACGAGGGCAAAGCGGAGGTCGGC